GAATAAAACTGATTAAGGGTATTGGGATATTGAGTCTTGGGATAGCCACCTTTACCACTAACTTTGAGATTTTAAGATATGCTACTGTCTAATAATTAGATTAGTTTTGTATTCAAACACTTTTTTAGTATATTCTAGTTTATTCTACTATTTAATTTGGATTGGTCAAATAGGTTAAAATAATACTAAACAAAAATTTAACAAAACAGTCTCATAATGAGTTTCTATTATTATCATTAAATATTATTTAATCTAGGTATGTTCTTACAACAATCTTAATATTTTGGGTTGGACTATGAACAGAAACTCTAACATTCATTTTTATTCAATCCTGCAAAAGCCTTTATGAAGCAAGAGAGATTTACTTGGATCTTAAAAGGAATCATCCACTTGCTGATGATTCCTTCCTCAGCAACAAACTCATCCAGATGTTTGGCAAATATGGAAGCCCACAAGAGGCACGCCAAATCTTTGATACCATCAAACACAAAGACTCCTTTTCGTGGGCTTTCATGTTTCAAGCTTACGCTCAAAACTCCCATCTTAAACATGCAAAAGAGATCTTCGACAAACTGCCGCAAAAGGATGTCTTTGCATGGACATCCATGCTCTTGGCATATGCCCGAACTGGGCATGTTCTCAATGCCCAAAAAACATTTGATGAGATGCCGCAACACAGCCTTCTCTCATGGAATGCAGTCCACGCACACAGCTGGGATCTAAAATATGCCGAAAGGATTATCTCCGGGGTGCCCGAGTATGATCTCGTGTCTTGGAATTCCATTCTAACGGCATACGCCCGGAAAGGGCATGAACGGGAAAAATGTGTTTTCGATTCAATGGAGGCTCGTGACCTTGTGTCATGGACGACAATCTTGGTTGCCTTGTCGCAGGGCGGAGATTTGCACGGAGCAAAGCTTTTGTTTGATGCAATGCCGCAGCACGATCTCGTCGCCTGGACCGCGATGCTTGGCGCGTACGCACTGAACGAGGATGTCGATTCGACACAGAGGATTTTCCGCGAGATGCCTGAGATAGATCTCGTTTCGTGCAACACCGTGATGCGATGCTGCGTGATGCTAGACAATCAAAGCTTATATTTGACTCCATGCCGCAGAGAGCTCTCTCGTCATGGACAACAATGCTCGCTGTTCTTGCCAAGAACAGCCCCGGGGAGGAAACCAAGAGCTTTTTCTATCAAATGCCGGAGCTTGATCTTACTTCCTGTACGATAATGCTGCTCTGACAACCCTCAGACTTGGATCTTGTGAAGGCCACCTTTGATCAAATGCCGCAGCGAGACCTGTGCTCTTGGAACTCTGTTCTGTCGGTGTATGCCCAATCAGGGCATTGTGACTTTGCTTTAAGTCTCTTTAACGAGATGCCCGAAATGGATATGGTTTCGTGGAACAATATGTTAAATGTGTTTGTTCTAACTAGAAAACTACGTGAAGCTGCTTTACTCTTTCATAGCATGCTAGAACGCAACGTTGTGACCTGGGATGCTTTAATATCTGCATTTTCCCGAGAAGGCCATATTGTATACGCAAGGAAACTTTTTGATACAGCCCCTGACAGAGACCAAATCTTGTGGAGCTCCATGATAACTTCCTATGCACAAGTAAGCACCACTGCCAGCAAGGCCTTTCATCTCTTCAACGAAATGCAGGCCGTCGATTCCCCAAACACATCGTGCTTCGCATCCATCCTGGCCGCAAACAGCCACAAAGGCAGCTTTCAAGCGGGAAAGAGCTTCTTCGCTTCCATGGTTGTGGATCACGCCATTGAGCCCACAAGGCAGCACTACAGTTGCATGGTAGATCTCTTGAGCCGAGCCGGCCACCTTCACGACGCCAAAGATCTAATCTTAAGCATGCCGTTCGTTCCCAGTGCTCTCGAGTGGACGTGCCTTCTCGGAGCATGCAAGAGCCACGAGGATTATAACAATCTTAGACTGGGAGACGATGTAGTGAGATCTGTAATGGACGTAACCGACGCAACTCCCAAGACACCCTATGCTTTACTAGCAAACGTCTACACAAGCTCCCAAACAAAAAATCCACACTATATGTGAAATCTAAGGACTTACTCTCTCCTGTACACATGAAGTCATTTTAATCACCTCCGCCACAGCCCCCACAGCCACAGCCTCCGCCACCACCACAGCCTCCTCCACCTTGGCCTCCACCATGACCACCACCGGAGCCTCCACTGTGGCCTCCACCATTGTGGCCACCACTAAACATTGCTCCCGCACAATCGGAGCGTCTTCTTGGCTTTCGCCTTTTTGGAGATGCAAAGAAACTGAAACACATTTTGGATTGATTGCTTGCTAGCAAGGGGGCATAATCTTCTGCTTATACACAGGCTAGAAGGCAATTTGAGACTTTGACTCAGTGGAAGCCACGAAGAAAGCAATGTAAGCGCGTGGACCTGGAGAAGTTTATGCAATCAGGCCACGTGCTGGCACTGGCGGCGGCGGAGGCTGTGGTGGCGGTGGCGGCGGTGGTGGAGGAGGCGGCGGCGGTGGAGGCTGCTAAATACTCTGTCTGAGAAATAGCCATGCATATGAATGTTTGTAAATACACATATTCCTGGGTTTTCCATAACTTCCGCAAATAATACGTACAATTTGTTTGTATTGAACTTGTTTGTGTTTTTTACAGCCAAGGATTGAGCTGGCCACGATCTTAGCACTGTTAAGTAGAATCTCGTAGAATCTATTCAGCATTTCTATGTACTTCAGGTACTATAGTGATTCAAGTAAAATCCAAAAAAAAGGGAAACATCCACTTACAATACAACGTTTTGAGCGCTCTTCTCTTGTCTTCTCTCGAGTAAAAGCTTTGATTCTTCTAGCTCTCTCTCGCCTCCTGTTTTCTTACGATTCGCGTCGGGTTCTCCTTTGGCGGGCGCCTTCGCCTTCCTTCTCAATCTCGTTGCCAGCCGCGTCGTCCTCCGCCTTGTCCTTGGAATCGTCCGGGCTGGAGATGTCTTCCTTCTTGGACTTCTCTACAGTCACCTGCGCAAGACAAACAACCATGAGAGTCCAAAACTCGCGCAGCGCTATTGCTAATTGTACCTTCGTCTTCTTGGGGGGCGATTTCTTGCCACCAAAAAGAATCTTAAACAGCGTGACCACCAAGAGGAGCGGGATCAAAGCTATGGCGCTCAAAGAAATGGTTGGGAACTTCTCGGCCTTCTCCAGAAGATCCTGTCACAAGCGAAAAGAAAGTTAGAATACGAGACAAAGTCCATGCTCATGTGTTTTACTTACAAGAATCTTTTCCTTCTGTGACGCCAAAGCCGGGATGTCGGCAACCTTGCGCAGGTACTCAAACATCTTTGCCTGAAAAAATTCAAGGTCGTCACACACACACACACACAAAAAAAAAAAAGACAGACAAAAGAGGACAAAGGAAAAGTACCTGGATGCCGTCAGGACTAGGAGTCGCTTCTTCAGTTTTTTGCTTCTCCTTCTCAGCCTCGTACTTGGGCTTCCATTTCGTCTCCCTGTACTCTGCTGCCACAGCCTCGTCGGTCGCCACCAGGATGTTGTCAAAAAGAATGCCGTCCTGCATCGTCCAGATCTCGATCCCTATCGCCGAGATCGGCTCTAGATCCGGCTTGTCCAACTCGAAGTACTCCGGGTTCGGTATTTGCTTCGGAGCCCAGATCCCCTTGTAAGCCGGGTTGTCGATCATCGGAGGATACCACTTTCCCTTGTAGTCCGGGTTCCTCTTCATGGGCCTCTTCCATTCTCCACACCCAGACGCTTCCTCACACTTTGGGTTGCTGATCTTCGGGGGCTCCCACTCGCCATCCTCCTCGTCGTCCCAGTCCGCGGGCTTGCTAGCTTCCGGATCGTCAACCTCGTCCGGCTCGTTGTCCAGCCAGTCATCGGGCTTGACCGCCTCCGCGTCCTCGATCTCCAGTGGAGCGTCCTCGTCCCAATCCTCGGGCTTGGTCGCTTCCGGATCGGGGATCTTCGCCCGCTCGTCCCAGTCCTCGGGCTTCTTGTCATCGGGATCGGGGATGGTCTTGGGCGGGATCACGGCCGGCTCGAAGTCGCTCGAGAGGAGGTCGACGCTCTTCTCCTCCTTGCCGTCGACGAGGATCTTGAGCGTGTTGTTCGGGTAGATCACTGCCGTGTAGACGTGAGAGAGCTTGTCAGCCACTGGCGATGGCGGGTACTTGAGGTGATGCTCGATGTGCTTGTCGGATTTGGGGCCCTTGTGCTTGTAGATGAAGTGGACCTTGTTGGTGGCGCCACATTTGTCCGGCCCAAACATGATCGAGTAGGGGGATTCGTTGCTGAAATCGCCGGGCGTCCATCCAGCCTCTTGCGGGAGAAGGAACTTGAGATAGGCGCCGCCACACTCCAACCCCTTCTGGAGCCGGACATCGTACTGGAGAACCACGACGTCGTCCTTGAGATCTACCGATTTGGGCAGAGTAGCCGCGATTCCGTGCTTCTTGGCCGGCTCGCTCACAAGAAGGCCGTAATCCTCGTGACCCTCGCTCTTCTCGTGCTTCCAGTGGCCTGCCAAGAAAATCGGCGCCAATGAGAATTTCTAGCCACGGAATTTCGCGATCAAGAACAGACCTTGATAATCGCTGTGGCCAGAAACGGTCCATCGGCTCTCCCAAGAACCATCGAAAGGCTCGTAGAACACCTGCATTCGATCGATCGATCCAATCCAGACCTAGAAAGAAAAAGAATCAGGCGCGCTTACCACATCGGCAGCTACCGCGGCCGCCGCGATCGCCAGCAATCCGAGGAACAGCAGCGCCTTGGCCATGACCACGCCGGGACTAGGAACCCTAAACGCTCCTCCAAAGAATGCGCTATAAAGAGTGACTGGGTTTTAGTTTAGGCAGCCAATGGGAGCGCTCCGATTTCCTTTGGCGCGTGTAGCAGCGAATGGCACGGCGCCACGTCGGACGCCTTGACGTGGCTTTGTCCGGGAGGAAGGCATATTCGCGGAACAACTCCAAAATGCGATGAAAATATATTTGTGAGTTGGCAGGACGTTCTAGAATTGATGTTTGTGGACCAATTACAAATACAAGCTTTAGAAATACAGACTATGATCTCTCCAGATAGAGACTATAGAGACATGATCTCCAGAGCGTCCCTTGTTCTTCCCATAATGTCTAGAGCGGTCGCAGCAATGTGAGCTGCTGTTAATCCAGCCTCGGTCATTTGATCGTTTGGAGAACCATGGTCGATGTATCGATCGGGAAGAACCAATGGTCGCCACTGCAATCGATCGAAAGAGAGAATGATATGAGCACAAACTTTACGTCCAAAAGAAAGAACTTGAAAAACTTGCCTTCAAAGTTCCGTCGAGAAGTCCATCCAGAGCCATGAACTGTGCTACGTGAGAGCCAAATCCTCCGATTGATCCTTCCTCCACCGTGATAAGTACCTCGTGTTCTCTCGCAAGCTGCCGGATCAAGTCGCGGTCCAGTGGCTTGCAAAACCTCGCGTCTGCGACCGTGGCCGGGAGTCCACAGCTCGCTAGAAGAGCTTGAGCGGCGAGACACGACTGTACCATCGTTCCATAGCCCAGCAGCGCGACTTTAGATCCTTCGACAAGAATCCTCCCCTTGCCAACCTGTGTGAGGAGCAAAGCTTTGAAAATGGAAAACAAAAATCTCGACTGGTTTCTTACCTCGAGAGGTATGCCTTTGTTTCCCGGTGGAAGCACCACCCCGATACCATTTCCTCTGGGATAGCGAAAGCAGCTTGGACGATCATCAATAGCAGCGGCGGTGGCGACCATATGGAAAAGCTCGGCTTCGTCCGACGGCGCCATGACCACCATGTTTGGCAGGCAAGCCATGTAAGTTACGTCAAATGCTCCACAATGTGTCGGACCGTCGGCTCCAACTAGACCCGCTCTGTCCATGGCAAATCTCACGGGTAGCTTTTGGAGATCAACGTCGTGAACAACCTGAGACAAAGCCGCATCATAAACAAGAAAACATCCGTGGCAAAGAAAGAGCTCCTACCTGGTCGTAAGCTCGCTGGAGAAAGGATGAATAGATAGCACAGAATGGCTTTAGGCCTTCGCAGGCAAGCCCCGCAGCGAAAGTCACGGCATGCTGCTCGGCAATACCGACGTCGAAACATCTATCTGGGAAACGTTTCTGGAACATATTGAGGCCCGTTCCTCCACCCATAGCCGCGTGTATGGCAATGATCCCATTGTCGACTTCAGCTTCGGCAATCAGGGCCTCTGCAAAGTACGTGGTATAAGCTTGCGTTGCAGTCTTTCCTTTGAATTGCTTCCCAGTTGCCGGATCGAATTTAACAACACCTGATCAGAAACAAGGAGAGTGTCAAACTCAAGTATTTTGGATGAGATTCACTTTCCATGGTACTTGTCTGATGCGCGCTCGGCATATGGATAGCCACGACCCTTCTCCGTGACAATGTGAATCAATACCGGACCCGTCGTTCGCGTGTTTTTCACCTCCTTGAGAATTGTAACAAGGTCTTCGATGCTGTGGCCATCTACAGGTCCAATGTAGTAAAGTCCCAGCTCCTCGAAAAGAGTAGACCCCGATCCACTTATCATTCCACGCGCATACTCGTCGACCTTTGCTGCGAGTTCATGCATTTGTCCTCCAAGTTGTTTAGTCACTCCCTGTAATATATATACGAACGTTACTTGTGTATGCATTACTAGACGTTAGTACCTTAGCAACTTCACGAAGTTCACGAAGAGGTCTGCTTGACTGTAATTTGCTGAGAGCGCTGCTCAAAGCTCCCACCGGTGGGGCTGGACCGTCCAAAGTCGCCGTTGGCAGAGAAACTTGCTTGTTATCATTTAGAATAACGATCATATTCGAGTCCAAGTAACCAGCGTTGTTCATGGCCTCGTAAGCTTGACCCGCCGTCATTGCACCGTCTCCGATCACGGATATCACATGATTCTTGTTTCCCATCAAATCTCGGGCCACAGCCATGCCTGTGACATCAAAGTTTTGTTAATCGATCAATATCGAACTACGTGATTGAAGAGCTGTTGCCTACCTAAGCCAGCGGATATACTGGTGGAGCTGTGCCCGGCACCAAAGGAGTCATACTCGCTCTCTGATCGTTTTGTAAATCCAGAAAGTCCATTAGTCTGCCGCATGGTGTGCATTCTCGATCTTCTTCCTGTAAGAATTTTGTGAGGATAGGCCTACGACCAACACAGGATTAGCGTGACTTTTTTTTCACAGTGAAGCTTGCGGGAGTCAAACTACCTGATGGCCGACGTCCCAAAGAATCTTATCTTCTGGCATGTTGAAAACATGGTGAAGAGCAACAGTGAGCTCAATCACTCCAAGACTCGCTCCAAGATGCCCGCCGGTCTTCGAAACAGTGAAGATGATGTCCGATCGAAGCTCATCTGCCAATTGTCGCAAATCCTGCAAACAAGAGGAATATTGTTTTGTAGTTTTCTAGCATTTGTCATCTCCATACCTTGGTGCTAAGATTTTTCATATGCAAAGGGTAGTTTATAGTGTCGAGCAAAGGCGTGGGAGGCTTCTCCGCGAAATACTCTCCTCCGGGCCCCGTCGACGCTGCTGCTGATGCTGCCACAGCCAAAAACCTCCGAGCCTACACATCCATCACAAGTAAGAGTTGACCTTGGAGCCGGCCAGAATTTGGTCTGCATTGCTCGCGGCGAGGAGATCCTGTCGAAATTTCGATCACGTACCTTGAAAGAAGCGGGCTTGAAGCCCCTGCGCTGGAGATTTGTGTGAGCTTGAGACAGTAGGTATCCGGATTCCGTCGGCCGGGCCACAAGGCGGCTGCTGTTGGCGCTGCTCGTGCTACATTCCGCTCCTCCTAGCGCCATAGCTGCTGCTGAGGGCGCCATAGCCGCGCGCGTGATGCGCCAAAACCCTCGCCTTCACGGATGCGCCAAAACCCTAGTTGGATTGCATGGAGATCCCGGAAAGAGTCAGTGGAACACCATGCTCTCAGCCACTCACTTTTAAGCACATTCTTATTTGCCAATTGAAAAGACAAAGATATGGTTGGACACTTGGCAAATTTTGAAGAATCATATGTCTTCATTGTATATATCAAGGATTTTAACAATGCTGGAGTAGCTCAGTTGGTCAGAGCGTGTGGCTGTTAACCACAAGGTCGGAGGTTCGAGCCCTCCTTCTAGCGAGGATATAATATCCATTTTGGTATTCGAATTCTTTTTTTATTTTTGCGCGCCAATGATTTAAATGTTTGAATTCAAACTGATAAACCCTAATGCTTTGCAATGCTCGTTTCCTCGTGGCGCGCCCACCTCCGGCCTGCGGGGAGCGCCATCAGTTCCAGGAGTGGGACGATGAGCTCGATCCATCGGTCTACGCACAGCTCGTCAAAGCTTGCGGCAATGCCAGGGATCTCCAAGGCGGAAGGCGCATTCACGAAGAGATTCTCCACAATGGCCGCTGCTCCACCGATCGCTACCTCGCCAATCTGCTCGTGGAGATGTATGGAAAGTGTGGCAGCGGCGAGAACGCTCGCAGGGTTTTCGAGAGCATTCGCCAGCCCAACCAGTTCTCGTGGAATCTGATAGTGGCGGCCCTGGCCAGGAGTGGGAATGTGAGAGACGCGAGGGCTATGTTTGATCGGATGCCCGTCCGCGATGCTGTTTCGTGGGGGACGATGATCACTGCCTACGCCGACAGTGGCGACGTCTTGGAAGCTAGAAATCTCTTTGCCAAGATGCCGGATCCAAATGCCTGGGCTTGGTCCGCAATGATCTCAGCATATGCCCGAAACGGGCATCTGGTTGAAGCAAGAAAGTGTTTCGATTCTATGCCCGAGCCAGAAGCTGTATCGTGGAACACAATGATCCATGCCTACAATCAGCACGGGGAATTCAATCAGGCTAGAAAGTTGTTTGAGAGAATGGAAATCAAGAACTCGGTTTCGTGGAACACGATGATCACTGCTTACGCCCAGAATGGGTATATCTACGACGCAAGGATCTTGTTTGAGAGGATGCCTGGGAAGGAGGTCTCGTCCTGGAACGCGATGCTTGCAGCGTACGCGCAGATCTTTTACACGAACGAAGTGAAGGATTTGTTCGATCGAATGCCGCACAGAAATTTGATCTCGTGGAACACTCTGATCGGAGCGTATGCTGATAGAGGTGACTTTGAGGCTGCAAAGGTGGTGTTTGAAAGCGCGGCTGTGAGGGACGTTGTCTCGTGGACCGCGATCCTCAAAGCTTTTGTTCACACGAGAGAGGTTGAGCAAGCAAAAGAGCTCTTTGATCGAATGCCCGAGAAGAACCTCGTTTCCTACACGACCATGCTTGTGATCTTTGCGAAGAATAGCTGCCTGGATCGAGCAAAGGGGCTGTTTGATCGAATGCCGCAGTACGATTCTATCTCCTGGGGGGCGATGATCGAGGCGTACTCTGAGAATGGATTTGTGGCAGTCGCGAGAGAGATGCTCGATCGAATGCCTCACCAGGACGTTCTAGCTGTCAACATCGTGATTGCGGCTTATGTGCACGCTGGGCATATGGAGGAGGCCAAGAGCTTGTTCGACCTTATGAAAGAACGAGACTCTACCACTTTAAACGCTATGGTTTATGGATATGCCCAGCTCGGGCATATAGATCTTTCACGGCATCTTTTCGATTCTCACCCGGACAAAGACACCACCTCCTGGAACACGATGCTGGCGGCTTGCTGTAGGTGCTGGCTTTTCGAGGAGATGGTGGAGATCTTTTGGAGGATTCCGGAAAGGAATGTGGTGTCGTGGACGGTGGCGATACAGTCCCACGTCTTGAGAAACCAGCTGAGGCTTGCAAAGGCGGTTTTTGAGAGGATGCCCGAGCAGGACGTAGTGTCGTGGAATGCTTTGCTCCATGCCTTTGCTCGAGAGGAAAACCGGAACTTCTCCATGAATCTCTTTCGGGAGATGGTCGTGGAGGGATTCAAGCCGGACGAGACGACGCTGCTGGGAGTTTTGGTGTCGTGCAACCACGATGGCCTCCTCGAGAGAACCAAGTCGAGCTTCTCGAGCTTTAGATCCGACTTTGGCCTCGACTGCCCCAGGCAAGAGCTCTTCGACTGTCTGCTCGACAACTTTGGACGATCCGGGCAGCTCCGCGAGGCCGAGGATCTCCTCCGGTGGATGCCGTTCTCTCCCAGCGTCGCATCCAGCACCTCGTTCCTGCGCGCATGCAAAGTTCACGGAGATCCAGAGCGAGCAGCCAGATTCTCGCAGCACTTGAGCGACTTGAAAGGAGGAAAAGCTCACGGTTCTTACGTCCTTCTCTCGGACAGCTTGAAAACCATGACGACGTAGATCTTCGTCTCGGGAAGTTATACGTCACTAGTGAAGGACCCCTTCCGATGGAGCTATATAACTCTTTCGTCCGATCGAAGGGTGATGTCAGCTAGAACAGGAAGGAAAGGAACAGGGGAGCTGTGACGCAAAACTCCACTAGGCTGCTCCACTTTTCTTGCGGCTAAAGGGAATCAATCATCGCCATTTCTACACACAGCGAGGGGGGAATATCTCCAGAGGCCACTCAGAACTGTATCTGCTTGGAGGCTACCCTTGTGCTGTCTGACACCAAAGGGCTCATGCACACTTGATGATCCCTGGCTACCTTTGCCAGGACGGGGGTGCTAGGCAGCGGGGAAAGAGAAAAAAGAAAAGATCACGCACGTGAAGAAGATATGGTCATCGAGTCCTGGGACGAATTCGCGAGCTAAGGTGCAAGGAAAAATCGCCCTTTTGCTGCTCCGAGCTGCTGGGTCGAAGAATTTAAGGGCCTCGAGATTTTGAAGCTGGAACTTGCTGCTTGGAAGAGTTCATCGACTTAAGCTTGGAGAAACTGGAAGGAGCCATCACTCATCGACTGGAAAGCTGTGAGAAGATCATATCACTCATTGGTTGGAATCTGAGAAGATCATATCACTCATCGGTTGGAAAGCTGTGAGAAGATCATATCCGAAGATCACTGCTGCTGCCGCTGAGATCCCTGGCTGGTGCCGTGAATGCTGGTTATAGCGGAGATTTCTTGCTAGGATATATGGCAAGGCTGATGAAGCTCGTAACGGGGGAGACGTCGCTGTATGCTTCTATCACACACACGCAAGCCGAGTCTCCAGCCGTGACTCTCACTTACGGTGGCTACATGCCTCTAACTCGAGCTACGAGCACTGGAGCCGTGAGTAGCAGTGAAAGTAATGGACTTAACATCGTCGCGGCGATTTTGGTGACCGCCTCCTCGATGATGATCCTGCTGGCTCTACGTCTCTGGCTTTGCAAGTGCTCTCCTTCGCGGAGCTCTAGCCCCAATCCCTCGTCCTCAACGAGCAGCGATGGCTCCAAGAAGAAGGCTGGGGATGGATTGGACAAGGAGGATATCAACAAGTTTGCACTCGTGGATTTCCAGGCGCTGGCGAGCAGCAAGTACGAGAAGACGTGCACGGTTTGCTTGTGCGAGTTTACCTCCAAGGACGTCGCAATTCGACTCCTGCCGGGTTGCAATCACTCGTTTCATCCGGCTTGCATCGAAATGTGGCTCTTCTCGCACACTTCGTGCCCGATTTGCCGCAAGAGTTTGCTACCCCTGGCTATGGTGGCCAAGAGCTCGAGTTCTTCCACACAAGATCATGCGCAAGAAGAGCACCATCGAGGAGAGGAAGTTGTTTAAAATGCAAGGAAAGAGCTTGCTTGGTCTCGCGGCTTTGTATTACTAGCGTTCCCTTCGATGGTGCTTGAGGAAGTGTGTGTGTGTGTGTGTGTGTTTTTTTTTCCAAGACGACCAAAGTTGACGGATCACATACGTATCAAATCTCAAAAAGAAATCTCGTTTTGACTAAGTTCTTGGGTATACTTTGCGTGATGGAGGAACAATTGGTTATAGAAAACAAACTTGAGTGCGTGCCACGCGAATCTCTCCACGTACCAAATGATGCAATCCAAAGTTTTGTTATTCTTTTCTTTCCCAGATATACACGCCTTTCTTTTTCTCTCGCTCCCACCGGATCAAAGATCACGCCACAGTTGTGAATCACAATAGGCGCAAACCTACAAATCTCTCGTCAGAAACGCTGAAGAGATAATAGAGAGAACAATCTAGCTTGTGATCACGCGTGGGTGGCAAATTATTCCATTAGTTATTGGCGCGCAAGTGGCACGACAAGTGTTGTACTTTATGATTCCCGCTTGCTTTTCCAGCCCAACCAAACACACACTCACAATTTTTACAGTGATTTTCCAATCGATTTGCTGTTTGCTAGGTAGGAGTTCTCGATATCAACATTCTTTCGAACACCGTTACTGGGCTGAAAGGGCCCAGACTTTTCCACCCAGAGGACGAATCAAAACATCGTTGGCTGTACCGCAAAGCTGTGGTCTCGTCCGTTTATCATTCATATCAGGGACTCCTCCTATCATTTTGCCACCCTCCCAGACAAATGCTGCTGCTAGATCATGAAAGTAATCGAGAATGGTCAAAAAAAACCCGTGGTGGTTTCGTAATGTATAAAGCTTGCCAGAAGGAGAGCCACAGTAAAAGTATTTGATGCTAGCGATCATATGCTGGACAATAGCACATATGGGGCCGAATCTTGCGAGTCAAAGCCTCCCACCTTGGCGCTCGTCGGTCGTCCGTGAGTCCTGAAAGCGCTCAGCAGGATCGTGGAGCCGGCGTCCTGTGCCGGGAATGGCATGTCTTTGAGAAGTTCCTGGGCCTTTGCGACGAGCCCCGATCGCCCAAGAGCGTCCATCACGCAGTGGTAGTGGTGGATCCCCGGCATTATGTTGTGCTCCAAGATCATCGCGGAGAAGTATCGCTTGATTGTCTCCACGGAGCCCAGCCTGCTGCAAGCCGCGAGAACGCTCGAGAATGAGACCTCATCGGGTCTCAAGCCCTCGCACTGCATCTCGCTAAACGTTTCCAGAGCTCTTACAAAGTGCCCATTCTGGGCATATGCTTGGATCATTGCATTCCACGACACCGTGTTTCTCAGAGGCATGGATTGGAAGCATCTGCTAGCAGCACTAAGAATTCCAGACTTACCACACGATGCGACTATAGAATTCCATGTAACCGAGTCTTTCCATCTAAGCTCATCAAACAAGCTTTTAGTTTCAGAAACATAGCCTTGCTGGGCATAAGCCGCAATCATAGTGTTCCACGAAACAATGTCGTACTGTGGCATGCAATCAAACAGGCCTTTTGCTTGCTCGAAGTGTCCGTACTCGGCATAGCAACCCACTATGCTTGTCCAAGTTACTAAATCCCGCTCCACCATCTTATCAAACAAAGTGGTACATTCTTGGATATGCCCAAGCCGAGCGTATGCCTGAATTAACGTGTTCCAAGCACAAAGATCCGGCTCCTTGATGCCGTCAAAAACCTCCTTTGCTTTTGACAAGCTTCCGTTTTGAGCATATGCCTCCACCATGCACGTCCAAGATACCAGATTCCTCTGCGGCATCTTGTTAAACAGCCGCAAAGCATCCTTTAAGTAACCACGCTGCGCATAAGCGGCGATCATCAAATTCCAAGACGTGAGATCTCTCTCCGGCATTCGGTAGAACACTTCTATTGCGTGATCCAGGCAGCCATTCTTGAGATTCGCAGTTAAAAGTGCGTTCCAAGCAACAACATCGCGATCGTCCATTCTCTCAAAGAGCCGCTGAGATTCTTGCAGATGCCCTGTCTCGGCATATGCCACCAGCATCGTTGTCCACGTCACCACGCTTCTCTCTGGCATCGACTCGAACATGCGACGTGCCTCTACCAAATGCCCGTGCTGTGCGTAGGCCTGCAAGAGGGCGTTCCAAGATACCAGTGTCCTCTCAGGCATATTCGCAAACAAGGAGCTAGACTCCTCAAGATTCCCTGTTGTAGCATATGCCGAAAGCACTGTCGTCCACGTCTGCACGTTCCTTTCAGGCATGCAATTAAAAATCTCCTCAACTTTGTTTATATCCCTTGTCTGCGAATATGCTTTAAGTATGGCATTCCACGTTACTACCTCCCTTTGTGGTATCTTTTGGAACAGTGCCCTTGCTTCTTCAAGATGCCCATTCCTGGCATATGCCTCGATGATGATATTCCAGGAATATAGATTGGGAGACGGCAGGGATTCGAACACGCGTAAGGCGTGATCCAAGCTCCCACATTTGCCGTACATCTCGATGAGGAGATTGGAGATGTACGTGTTGTGGATCTGCCCTCCTTTGCGAATGCGAGAGTGGAGTTTTTTGGCCTGGGAGAGCTCTTTGGCGTCTCCACACGACTTTACTTTGCGAGCCAGTGAGACGAGATCTTCGTGTTGGACACTGCGTGATCCATAACTCATGGCATCATGAAACTCCGCAAACTTCCATGTATTTACAAACTTAGCAGAAGAACTATAAAAAAAACCCAAGCTGTTTGCTAGATGCAAGCTCCAGCGCAGTTTACCAGGTCTCGCAGATGGCTCGACGCCAGATCTTCGTTCCCCTGCGAAAAAGAAGAATTTTTCATGAGCCTGGACCGAGTTTAGCATCAACATACCTCCCAGTCGATCGCACGAAGGTTCAACTCATACGTTACCCTTCCAGCAGACGCCTCCATCTCCGCGCGATTGGCGACCATAAACTTCCACTGCGTTTCCTTGCCTCGAATTATGGTCACTCTGCGATGCTCGACGTTGCAAACGCTGAAGCGCTTTGCGAAGGAGTCGCGACCCAGTGGCCAACGCAAACCGCCCTTGACAGTGTCATCTATAACAGCAGCGCTGGCCAGTGCTTCATAGGCAGCTCTCTCCTCGTCCTGTTTCTAGGAAAACTTAGCTCTCGATCAACAGCAAAGGAAGACTTAACTGGAACGTCGGTAAGCAGCGTCTCAGAGTAGACTGCGATACGCAAGTCCGTTTTGCGTCCTACGCACAGATAATCAGACACAAGATGCCTTAATGGATCAAGCTTGAGCTGCTCAAGTTTCAATGATTATCACCCAGAAATCTGGCCAAAGACCAATACCTTCTTCAAGACTAGAGAATGCTCGCTTTCATGAGCTCGCTCGCACACACACCTGACAAGGTAACGAGGACGATCGATGTTTTTCACCTGTGAGCAAGCGATCAAGCGCAAGGAAGCTTATGGAAAGTAGTTACCCGGAAGTGATAGCGTTCGCAAGTGATGACTTCCACAGCCTCTTGTTGTAGAGCAAGGTGCTCAAACTGGTGGAAAAGTTCTGGCGTTATTGCTGTGTGGAAGGTCCTCCTAAGCCTAGAGGATTCCTCCTCAAGATATGCTGGACTGAAGCTTTGGACCTGTTGGGTATCTTTTCGGAACACAATCGTTCCAAGTCGCAAAACCATCTTGAGCTTGCCTCGTGAATCGTGCACGCTCGAAGCTGCAAGCGACTCTGGCCCGCGTCGCGTCGCTGTCATAACATCCAGAGAGAGGGACTCTATTCCAATGTTCTCAGCCAGAGATCCATTGGTGTTTCCTGGCACAAAAAAGGGAAGTTTGAGTGAGAATGATTTTCTTTGATCGTACCTGGATGATCGCCGTCGTCCACAACAGTGACAATGTACTGCTGCTTACCATCCAGATGAGCGTAGGTCTCCCCTTGAAAAACCTGGAATTGGAGGCGCGCCTCGCCGGAGAGGACATGAAACTGTAAAATGCAGCTAGCAGCTTCCCTGATCACCGGAAATGGAACGGTGATCCTCCGCCCGCCCAGCGCCTGGGGCGATCGCTTGGCCTCCCCGAGGCGCCTGTGAGGTGGAACGTAAGGCATTTTGACGCTAGAACCCTAATAGAGCATCCCTATCTTGGGGCATTTTCAAAATTTCGCGCGCTTTATTGTAATGACGTGACAAATCTTTTAGTCGTCGTCTTTAAATTCCCTGGAATGGCGAGAAGATCATAGATTTAGCACTCAAATTCGCACGAATCGAGAGGGCAGACCTTCGATCCAAGAAACGAGGTTGAATTCCAGTTCCCTGGCAAGTGGTGCAAGTGATCGATCCAGCGCCATCGCAGTTCACGCACTTGGATTTCTCCGACTCGCCGGATCCCAGCGCGATGGCGATGGTACCGCTGCCTACACAGAACCGGCAAGTTTCTTCTCGATGGAATTCATCCACCCAGGGCCATTGATCAAGAGGAATTCTCAGTGATCGCGAATTCAAGGGAGAAATGGATCGAAAAGCTTACGTGATCCTGTTCCACTGCAAGGGAAGCATGGCTGATCGTTTAGTCGTTTCTCGGCCCCTTTTACTTGGGTCTCGTAAAAGACCGGGATCCCAATTCCCACAGCGATTCCTGCCAATCCCACGCCCACTGCCAGCAGCTGGAAGCCGAGAAATCGATCCAATTTCGCCGTGGATTCGATGAAGATAGAGCAAATGTGGGTCGAAAATTCCAGAGGAAGAACTTACCGTGTCTTGATCCAATTCCAGCGCCCTTATGGGAGCGAGGATCCTCCGGCGATTCCTTCCAGGAATATTCTTCTTGTGCGCTCTGCTTAGTGACGATGGCAGCGAGAGGGACGCCGCAGTGTAGCTTACAGTCGCCATGGCCGGATTGAGCACCAGCGGCCAGATCACAGCCACGTGGCCTATGGATTAGCCGCAACATTATGCTGACGTGGCGAGTTCGGACCGTCCGATATGGAGCGAATTCAAACTGTGGCTCCGCCACTGAAGAACGAGGACGCGATCAAGGATCGCCGCGAGGAGCTGTGCCTGGAGCTTAAGATCTGCGACAATCTCGAGCGCGGCAAGAGGATCCACTCGATCATCTCCGGCAGCGAGCATCACCGGCGCGACAAGCTCCTGGCCAATTTCCTGATCCACATGTATGGGCGCTGCGGCAGCGTGGAGGGCGCTCGCGCGGTCTTTGATTCCATCCCGGAGCCCAATGTCTTCTCCTGGAACATGATCATCCAGGCGTATGCCCGTAACCGGCATATAGATTCGGCGCGAGCGCTCTTCGAGAGAGCCCCGCAAACCGATGTTCTCACCTGGAATTCCATGATCGCCTCGTACGCCCAGGAGGGAAAACTCACGGAATCGAAGAACCTTTTTGATCGGATGCCCGAGAAGAACGTCGTCTCTTGGAATTCGATCTTACAAGCATATGCCCAAAACCAGCAACTTAGCAAAGCTCAGACCATCTTTGAGACAATGCCCGAATGGAACGTTGTTTCATGGAACACTTTAATCTTAGCATATGCCCAGCATGGGGATTTGCGTAAAGCTCAGCTCTTGTTTGAAAATCTAGAATTTGCAAACTCAATCTCATGGAATACTATACTATCGGGATATCTACAAGCTGGAAATTTCACTAAAGCTAAAGAACTGTTTGATCGAATGCCCTTGCCAGATATAGTGTCGTGGAACACTTTGGTAGGGGCATTTGCCCAAGCTGGGCTTTTTGGCATGGCTTTTAGTTTGTTTAGGCAGATGCCCGGGTGGGATTCTGTGACGTGGACGGCCCTGATTCAAAGTAGCGGCCATTACCAAAACTGGGATGGAATTCGTTACCTGTATGATAGAATGCCAAAGGAAGACATGGCAGTGTGGAATTCGCTTTTACTGGCTTATGCCCACAATGGGCATTTTGTTGGAGCGCATAAGGTATTTCACGAAATGCCGCGATGGAGCGTAACTTCTTGGAACTCAATGGTAATTCTCTATGGTAACTCTGGCGAGTTTGACTCCGCCGAGGGTTTTGTTTCTATGATGCCTGAGAGGGACATAGTGACGTGGACAGTGCTGCTGGCGGCATATGCCCAAGCTGGGCGTACGGAATGCGCCAGGCGCGTGTATGAGTTTATGCCCGAGCACAATGTGGTCAGCTGGAACGCGATGATCCAAGCGTACGGACTTAATGGATCCTTAGAGAACGCCAGGAGCTTGTTTCACGACACAATGCGAGACAAGGACATTGTCTCTTTCACTTCTATGATCCAAGCTTACGCGCAGAACAACGATCTCGAGGGCGCCGTACGAACGTTTGAGAGAATGCCGTACTGGGACGTCGTCGCCTGGACGACCATGATCACCGTTTACGCTCAGTATGGAGATTTGGAGTCGGCGATAGACGTGTTTAACTCGATGCCACAGAGGAACTTAGTGACTTGGACGGCTATGATCCAAGCTTATTGCTCCAGAGGCCATTTGGAGGAGGCCAAGAGTTTGATGGACAAGCTTCCAGTGTGGAGCATCACACTGGGTAATGTTTTGCTGCAAGCATATGCCCAGAATGGTTATACAGAGCTCACAAGACAAGTCTTTGATGCCATGCCCAAAAAGGATATAGTCACCTGGACGAGCATGCTGTCGGCTCACGCTCAAAACATGGAGCTCTTGGAAGCCGAGAAGCTCTTCTCTGAGATGCCGGAGTGGAGTTCCACAGTTTGGAACGCGTTGCTGGCCGCTTATGCTCGCAATGGAAAGCTGGAAAAAGTGAGAAGAACGTTTGAGATGGTACCGGAGAAGGAGATTGTTACCTGGAGTGCGGCTATCTCGGCTTGCGCGCACTTGGGCGATGGAAGACAAGCGATCGAGCTGTTCAAGAGGGTCGAGAACGAAGGCCTCCGAGTGACCGAGGTGTCGGTGACAAGCGCGTTGGTGGCTTGTAGGCACCTTGGTTTGCTCGAGGAAAGCTGCAAGTACTTCGTTTCGATGCTGTATGACCGTGACATAGTGGCTGGCAGCGAGCATTACTGCTCCATGGTTGACATACTTGGTCGCTTGGGAGAACTCGAGAAGGCTGAGGACTTGATCCAAAACATGCCGTTTGAGCCTGTTGCGAGTGCCTGGGGGAGCCTCCTTGCATCGTGCAGGACCCATTGTGACGTCGAGCGTGCTAAAACAGCGGCCAAGAATCTCTCCAAGTTGAATCCTAAAAACGCTGCAGCGCTTGTGATGTTGAAGAACATCCAGTTCGAGTGAAACAAGAAAACACTTATCTCACTGACTTTGAAGGGTTTCGAGTGTAGCATCTAGCTTCTGGCCAAGTGTAGTGATCCAGATCTGTACCGCAAACACTGAGAGTAAAAACTGCATCGATTGTTTTTGTACCTGGTCGAGAGGAGAGAAGCCTCGGATAGTATCGCCCGCCAGTATCAGAACACCGGAGTCTCCCAAAGGTTGGATTATGACAGACTGAAACAAAGTGCTGCATTTCAATCGCCTGCTAGAAAAGTTGCGTACCTGGGTGTTTTGAGGCAGGAAAGGGAGTTCATAGCGACCCGGGTACAAAGAAAGGTTGGCCAAGTATGATTCTAGTCAAAACTTTGGTGAGAAAAACGAATGACACAGTCTCGCATCTGAAACTCACGTTTACCACTGGCTAGAGCAGCCGTGCATAAAGTTCCTCTCATGACGCTGAGCCCATCGATTTTGTAGGCGTCACCTTCCTGATCCGCAGCTATTCCCGCTTGAAAGACGCATCGCATCTTATATAACACAACAAAAGACTTGCAGCAAGTCGTCTTGCTCATTGTCTCCCAGGCCCTGCCAAACGCACTCACTAGTCAAGAAAAAAATCGCGAAGAAACAAAAATGTACCATACAAGCTCCGCTTTCGCTTCTTCAGACGATAAATACACCCTCATGCATTGTACTCCATCCAACTCTACCTGAAAGGACATAGATAATGAAACATTCTTTTGCAGTGGAATGACTTCTTACAGGCTTGAAGCGTCTTGGTTGAATAGAGATCCAGACGAGTCCAGCGAGAAGCACAGTAGCAGCCAAGGCAACCACTAAAACATCCGCCCTCGATTGAGAACTGTTGTCCAGGACACTTCTCAGAGCTTTACAAGACAAGTAAAGTCTTACCTGCTTGCACCTGCGACGAGAGGAACACCAGAAAGTGTTCTATTCAAGAATACGAATCCAAACGAGCCAACTCCAATCGTCACAGGTACGGCTCGCACGAATGCCAAGTTTCTGGAAAACCAATCCTCGCTAGTTTCAAAGCCACCGCCTCGTTTTTGGAAAGAACACCTGGTCTGGAACATAAAGTCATGAAGAACAATAGAAAAACAAATAAGAAGCTCACCTGAGAGCTTCTGAACGGCATCCTTGAAACAGCAAAGCGAGATAGAGAACCACATTTGCTACGAACGAAGAACACTGCATTTGCCATGGCCATCTCAATTGGAGAACCCTATCTTACATTCTATTAAGCAAAACCGGTGTCTTGATATTCACTCCACCCATAGCAAGGATCCTGCAATAAGTATATTGCTTGGAAGAGGCCCAGGGCAGGGAGCAACATATGTAAGTTTCTTCCTGTAAGCAAAAGTAAACAAAAATCGAAATAAGAAGAAGAGCTTTACCTGTTAAGATCTACTTCAGTGACGTAGACAAATCCGGCAACGTTACTGCAAGCATACACCGGTGAGCAGTTGATTCACAAACAAAAACACGATCATACCATGCAAGAACTTGATCTGGATCTTTGCTGTAGGAAACTCCAAGCACTGCGTGGACAAGGTCTCGGTTAATGCTAACAGGGACAACTCTGGTAGGATCTGCGGTAGGCTCGGCACCGATGGGAAGAGCTGAACGAGGAGCCTGAGGCCCGCCACCAATGCGGACGACTTGGATGTCTTGAAAGTTCACAACGGAGGCATGAGGTGATAATTCGTTCCATCGACCATAGAAGTAGTTCTGGAAAACCAAAAAAAAAAAGTAAGTAATCCGTTTCCAAGAAAAAGGAAAAATAAAAATAAAAACCTTTGTTCGCGTGAAACGACTTTGCTGCCTGTACTTCTGGTTGCGAGCCACCACACCACCAGACTTTTGAAGCTTGACAACATCTACGCCAGGCTTTAATCTCAAATAATCGTGCAGCATACTGTACACTTTCTCCTGAAAAAAGAGGTGTTACAACGATACTAAAGCATCAGCTAGATCATCGTACCTGGCCCAAAACCAGAATGACATTAGCATTTAGCGCCTCGATGGAATGCAGAAGCAACTGAAATAGAAAGAAAAAACAAAACTCAGTCATAGCTCTCAGGATGAAAAGGCTACCTCATAACCAACACCATCGACCCAGCCCATGGTGTTGATAACCATTCCAGAAGAGCGAGTTGCTATGTTCGACGCAAATTGTAGATCCAGTTGATGCGCGAGTTCTTTCACCAGAATTTTATACAATTCAGTGTTTACGCTGGACGGGAAAAGTAGCCTGTCAGTGCTCACACCATTTGCAACTGAAAAGAACTTCAAAGTACCTGGGAGTGGTGTGACCATAAAAGTAAACAAGAGGGACATCCAGAATGATCCCTTCCACGGGATCAACAGGCGTCTCGACGGGAGTTGCAGCGATTGCTCCCGAGAGCGTGATAGATCCTTGACCAATATCGAGGTCGACATACATTGGTTTCCATTGCTGACGAGCAGCCCAGCCAAGGAGCATCTTCGTAAGACTACTCTTTCCAGAATCAGTCGGGCCAACAACCATCACTCTGGGTCCCTGTTTGTTTCCGACTGTTAAAATGTATTCGGGAAAAGAACGAAGAAGAAAAAAGGTTCTTGCTTCTTACCTGCGTGAGTGGATTTGGAATCTCGCCAGGAGCGTTGTGAAGAGAAATTGCTGCTTCGCGAGCTCTCCTGCGCCTGTTTTCAAGCACCGCATGAACATTGACGTAGCTCACCATCGGTGTCTGAAAGAAAAAAAATCTCAGCAGCGATTCCTACTATAGTAGAAGAAATAGAGATTAATTTACCTCATCAGCGACATAGGCAACCTCTGATACGCCATCCAGCTCCAGAAGCGCACCACCCCACGTAAAAACCTGCTCAAACATCCCTCCTTACTTACTGAAAGAAGAACAGACGAGAAACTCACAGCAAATTTTTGTGAGGGAGAGAAAGTGAGCCAGTACTGTGGAGGGAGCTCCGTGCCGAAAATCTCCGCCGTGCCGGCCACGAGCTGCATCCTGAGCGGCCCATCGACGCCTACCTCGACGCGCAGCTCGCTTTCCTTGCGGAGCTCAAATCTCCGCACCGCATCGCCAGGCGCGAGATTGCCATCGGAAGCCATCACTAGAACCCTAAGCTTTTCAAAATTTAGGGCTCCTCAACTGGCTATGGCGGGAAACGTAACTGATGGAACCATCAAGCAATGGGGGAACTCTTTTTGACTCTCTTTAGCAAATCTAGACATCTTTCTTCATATATCATATACATAACTATAAAGTTGGAAGCTCCAGCTTTTATTGAGTAAATTTGTAGTTCTATGGTTTGCTTGAGTAAAACTAGTTTGGATGCTTGCTAGCAAAAATAATTTATTGTGCTAATGTTTAGTTTGTTATAGAAAGATTTAAAATATTAAAAATATAATAAAATTTAATAAGTGATGGCATTAGTGTTTTTAAAAATCAACATGGTTAATTAGTTTTATGAGGAATAAGTTGGACAGCCAGGATTCAGCCAGAACGATGGATTGTCTGTGACTAAGTGAATATGCATAGAATATATTCAAATAATATAAAACATTCTACTATCTAATGGTTATTATTTATTTAAATTAATCTGACACATCCTAACAGAAGCCAAACTAATATCTCAGGTGATTAGCCATGCAATCCAGGGATATAAACTTTCCTAAACACTTCTTAGTATATTTTAGTTTATTTTAACATTTATTGGTTGATATGTAATAAGATAAATCTTTCATTTATAAACTATATTAATAAATAATAAGCACTACTATTAAGCAAACCAAACATTGCAACATGCAAAACACAACAATTTATTTTAACATCTGAATTAAATATAATAATATAAACTCAGTTGATTAAATAAAAACTCCCACTCACTTTTTAGGGCCCAAAATGCATGGTCTTTGAAAAAAAACATTTTTGATAAATTAATCTCCAAAATCATTATGTGAAGTCTACAATGTGCCCCAATTGCAGAGAGGATCTTTGCCAGCTCATCACATTTTAAAGTAGGCACTAGTGACTAGAAATATTAAAGGGTTCCTAAAGATTGCTGGCAGTATTAAAGTATCATGTTGTAAGCCCAAGGTCTAGATTTTGAGCTTCCCATCATATTTGGTGAAAAGAGCAAAACTATATTACTGTCTCAATGAGTGAGGGGATTTTAGATCCACATCACACGTTTCTAAGTTTGTAGCAGTTTGTAGGAGGTGTGGTTTCATCTGAAATTTACTTAACCCTTAAAACTATGTAGCAATGATAAGTATGAATATTAGTATTGGATGGCTTTTGCCACTAGCTAAGATTGTTGCTGTTACCACGATAGAAATGCAAAGCCAGAAAGAAAAGGAGATTTGTCAACTTGCTAGAAACAATAAACTTTGAATTAAGTGTTCATCCTTTTTCATGTTTATCCAGAGCAAACAAAAATACAGCAACATTTTCACAATTTCATGGCAAGTTTCAAGGCTTTCCTCCACAGACCCTTGGACCAGCTAGTAATCTCTTTGTCACTAAAGCAGCGAGTGAAAGAGGCATTATTGAGCTGACAGCCAGATGTGTACGTTGATGCCCTTGCTCTGATCAATAGATCTCAACTTTTGGGCTGGAGCTGGAAACAGACAGACGAAGGCCACATAGCAGAAGGAAGAAGGCAAAGCTGAGCCAATGTGCCACCACGCCACCCAAAATCAATGGCATAGAATGAAAACCTCCTCAGAGATGTGGAGGCCAGTGCAGTGTCAGCAGCAGTGCGGCGGGAGAGTACAACTTGAGCTAGTCCACGGCAGTGCACATGCAAAGGTGGTCCGAGCTTGTAATCTTCTCATGGATTAGCTTGGCAGCGAAGCTCTTGTCACTCGCGACTTCTCCCGCGCTGGCAGCGTATGCCTGGCATGGAACGAACGCATTGCAAAAGTAGTCTTCCGGGATCTAGGGCGCAAATCTACATTGGCTTCGCAAGTTGATGGGCAGCATGTAGGAAGTATCAAGATGCCCGGAAAAGGCTTCTGCTGTGGTTATAGACGACCACAGCAATGCCGAGACCGCCTCAAAGGTAGTGGCTCTCCCGTAGTTCTTGGGTTGATCGTCGCGACCCCACGGTGGATCTCACTCCATCTAGTGAGAAATTTTACGAGGCTGTACTCGTCCATGATCACGTGTAGAAAGTGGAAGCCAATGGCCACTCCTCCACAGCCAAACGTTGTCACCTGGACTGGCATCAATGGCATCTGGGAGAGATCAGCATGACCACCGCGGCTAGAAAGCGAGAAATCGACCGAAATTGGGCACTGCCTGATGTCCGACCACTCGTGTCAAGCCTCGCATCGCTCCTGGGTTCAATGAAGCTCACGCCCTGGGAGTTGACATTCACCTCGAGCTTGGAAGATCCCTTGCCGTGGCAAATCCGGCCAGTGAGAACAGGGAACTCGGCCAGTGCTCCAATCCTATGCAAGGCGTGTCTTTAACATTGCTAGTGACTTATCTTCTTGTCCAGAAAGAATTTATTATCTGCCAAGACAAGTCACTAACGTGGTAAACTATAATGAATTTGCAGATGACACTTGTCTGGAGACTAGCCATAGGTAATTCACTAGGAATAATTCATAGAAGAAGCTGTTTTACACATTTGCCACGCTTAGAAAATGAGGAAGAGTTTTGTATCAAATTTGTGTATTCTGCCCCTGCTTTGGAATTTAGGGGTATTGTGTTGCGAAGTTTGCAATTTCCTAGAGCTCAATGCCACCACCGTAGCTTTATCATGTGGAGACAAGGAGTTTCTCTTTGATCTCAAAAAACACATGAGTAATGTGGATGGGATCCTGAAATGTCCCGGTGGAAATTTTCAGAGTTCTTGTGCTTTTAAAGGTTACAAAGTTGAGATCGAGAACCACGCTCCTAGGCTTTATTACACTGCTCACTGTAAAAACGAAATGGACACCTACGTGAAGACTAAGCTTGGCTTGAAGAAATGCTTTGGAGATTCAGAAGTTTGTATCTAGTCTTAAAAAACTCACTTTTTAAATTTTTTACAAATGCTGCTCTTCACAAGTTCTGTTGGAAGACTTGTTGGAACCAAATTATGGGAGTTTGGAGGATCTTTGAAAGAACACACAATGGATTTCATGGAAAAGATAAATTTTGTTCTACGAGCTTTCAAGAACTCTAAAGTTTCTTACGATTTCTATCTCCCTTGGAGAGATTCCATGAGCTGGGTGACTTGCTCCACTTGTTCGGGGCTCCGGCACGCCGAGAAGAGCACCCTCGCGGTCACAGCGTCGGCTCTACACCCGGACTCGAGCATCTTCTTGAGGATACTCGTGCATTTCCTGTAGAGCTTCTTCTTGGCGTAGCCTCCCATCAAGGCCGTCCAAGTCGTGGCGTCCGGAACGAGCTTGAGCCTCGCCAGTCCCTGGAAGAGCTCCTCCGCCTTGGGAATGAATCCCGCCTGAGCGTAAACTTGGATCAGCGTGTTGTAGGTACCAATGTCTGGCTTGGTTTGCTTGGACGACGATTTCACCATCTTTGCGAGGAGAGCTTCCATGTCCTCGTGCCTGCCGGAAACCCCATAGGCGTTGATGAGAGCGTTGTAGATCAGAGTGTCCGGCTTTGTTCCATCCCTCTCCATGGCGGAGACGAGCTCCTCGGCCTCTTCGACCCTCCCGGCTCTTGCATAGGCGCTCAGGAGGAGCATGTTGGACTTGAGGTTTGGAGAAAAGCCGGCGCTTTGCATGGACTTGAAAATCTTCTCGGCATCTGCAATAGAGGCTCTCTTAGCAAAACTTGGAAGTGGTCGAATGGGCTTTCGAAAGATTTTACCTTCATATAGCCCAGCTCGTCCATAGGCATTGATAAGAATGTTGTGAGAGACCGTGTCCGGGAAGCAGCCATTTCTTTGCATTGTCTGGAAAATCTCGAGTGCCCCGGCCGGAGAACCTCCTTGGCTTAAAAAACAGCATTTTTCAAGGAAACAAAAATGGAAGGTTTCTACTATACCTGTACGCTTCCATCAACGCGTTGTAGGCGTAGTGGTCGGGCTTGTAGTCGAACTCCTGCAGCTTGTCGAAGTATCTCTCGGCTTCTCGGTACAGCCCTTGTCTCGCAAAAGCGTTCATGAGAGCAGTGAATGTACAGATATTTGGAGGACACATAGCGCGCCTCATGCTTCTGTAAAGCATCTCCGCCTTGGAAGGCTCCCCTGCCTGATCATAGAGATATTAAAAACTTACCTTCCAAGATCTCTGTGAAGTTTAAACACTACCTTGCCATAGATGACAATCATCCGGTTGTAAGTGTCAATGTTTGGTTCGCACTCGTACTTCTCCAGGTCCCGGAACAAAGCTTCGGCCCTCCTGTATTCTTTCGCGTCTTCTAAAACGTGGAGAAAGGTGTTGCATGCCAGCGGCCCTGAAACAAAAGCCTGAGTAAAACTTAGTTCCCCCAACAGCGCAGAACAAAGGTTGTAGGCGTTACCAGGACTGTATCCCCGCTTTTGCATTTGGACGAAGAGTTCCTCGGCCTTTTCGAATGAGCCCGCAAGCCTGTAGCCATTTATCAGGACGCCGAAAGTTTCCTCGTTCGGAACACAGAGAGCCTCTTGCATCCGGTTGAAAGTCTTCTCAGCATCTTCTATGTTCAAGCTTTTCCCGTAAGCGTCAATCAAAAGATTGTAACAGCCGAGGTCTGGCCGAAAAGCGGTGCCTTGGAGCACCCACTCGCACATCTGGAGAAGAAAAAAACAAAAGTTTCATGAAAGTTGCAATGAAGGAACACTTACAAACCTGTGTAACACGAGGCCAGTCTTTGTAGTTCCAGAAGTGAACGACCACACTCATGAAATTATCCCACGTATCGTGACCTCTAGGCAGGTTGTCGAGTGCGTTCCAAATAGCCGTGGCGTCCTCTTGCATTCGTAGAAACTGCGCCAAGGAACTCGCGGCTGGGCTGAGAACGATGAGCTCAATCTCGGTAAAGTTCCGTCCTGTCTCGAGCCATGCCTTTCCATGTCTTGTACCTATACAAAAACATGAGATGCACAGTCCCGACATGGAAAACACGAAGCTCAAACCTTTCCTCCTCTTGGAGACTTTCTTATCCAGAAGGGGATTCTCAACCCGACGAAAGACCGGCTTGTTCTTCACTGGCTGGAGCTTGTCACGCTCAAAGATCTTCGAAGCACGGGGTATCAATCGCTTCAGACAAGAATTGGAGCTCACATTCTCAAACCCAACTCTGAAAAATCTGCCTATGAGACTGCAATACAAAGGCACAAAATTAGCGAAGAAGCAAAAGTAGAGAGCTACAATACCATGAATCCTGCGGCTGTATTGGAGCTAGAATCGACATCCCAGTGTCACACGTACGCCACCATGTCCGTCACTAAGCCCTAGAAAATGGGAAAAAGGCATTGTTTTTTTTTTCTTTCAAATCGAAATAGCATATACCCTTTTTAACGAAGTAAGCGATAAGTATATTCCTTAGTTCCATGTTAGTTTATTGGTGGTTAAAAATAAACCTCCCCTAGATTTACTATGAGTGGCGAATAAGCTGGAATCTCCTTTTTTTTCAATGTTCTTTGGTTTTTATTTTTCTGGCAAGCTTGATGCTGCTACAGAGGCGACTGTAAAATCGTGCGTGTTTCTCTCGCCACCTTGGTGTCTCCACTTATGAAACAAGCCTTGATAAAGGACATGTAGCAGATTGTATCAAGATGAAAACCATGCTTTTGCATATCGTTTAAGAGATCTCTTGCTTTTCCTTTCGTGCCCACCTATACATGGCAACAGAGTAAGAAAGAAAACTATCAAAGAGGAATCGCTTACCCGTCAAGCATAGTGCAGTACGTGATTTGATTATGTTTCAGTCCTGCATCAGTGATCTGTTGAAACACTTCGGCTGCACCCTGCATGGCACCAGAGTTACAGCATGCCTTGAGTAGCGCACCATAGGCAACGACGTCGATCGCTAGATTTTCCTTCTTCATCCTTTGAAACATTCCAAAAGCCTTCTCGACATCGCCAGTACGTGCATAGCCCTCTGTAAGAGCTGTGTAGCTACGTTCGCTCGGAACAACATTGTTCGCGAGCATTTCATCAAGCATCAGACGCGCATTTTCCATCTGGCATGAAGCTTACATCAGAATTAGATCGACAAAGCATGCATGGCTACCTTGCAAGGCCGCGAAGTAAGGTGTTGTAAGAAAGAAGTCTCAGGCCTGCCGATTTGATCTTGTCGAAAACTTCCATTGTCTTTTTAATTTTTCCCAGTCTTCTGCTTCAGTGAGTTGTATAAGTTGAGGAAAGAATTTCTTCAGTCTGTTGCATGTTTCTAGCTTACGTATCAAACAAATAACTCAAGACTCTTTTGGTTAGTAACAAAATGCATCCTTTGTGTAGATGGAAATCGATCAGAAGCCCATACTCCGGCTAAAAAGAAACAGACAAGTGCCTTATCGAGCAAATCGAGACCTTATGCAAGTGTGCTCATCCAGAGCATCCTTTTTTACGTCATCGTCTAGTTTGGTAGCCAGCTTTTTTCCTACGAATTCCACTCGAAAAGCCTTTGTTCCTCCTTTTTCGCACAATAGGGAGATTGAAGCTCAACACCCAATCCTTCTTCCTGCCTTTCCGAATGATTTCTGGAAAGGTGGGTGCAACCGGGAGGCAACCTTCTCGAACCTTTTCACCACAGTGGAAGGGCTATGCTCATGCCGTGCTACAATGCAAACGATGTAAAGTACCTACAGCCTGCCTACCCAAATTTTCATCACTCCCTTAGAGATACTTACAGAGACATTAAGCCTGCATTCCACACCTGCATTCCAAAAAATCCTCCTTCGCCAGGGCCTCCTGAAAAAGTTGACACTTAAGTTCTTTGTAAAATGTCTTACCTTCACTGAAGCCGCTGTCTTTTTGAAGAAGCGGCAGACATTTCCACCAAAGCTTCAACCCTGGCTGCCAGCGCGCGATCGACATCTTCTTTCATCCACTTGACCACCCTTGGACCGATGATTATCTTGAGGAGGGACTCGTAAAACAGCATGGGATGAGGCATCACCGCGCCACCTTCCTGACCAATATCTGGGAGCCTGTATGGCTGCAAACAAACCGTGTTCAAAACGAGGTTAAAACTATTGCTGGTAGAATAAATACCTGGTCATCAACGAAGGCATTTGCAACAACGTACTGCTTGTCAGGGTAGCTGATACCGGGATGAGACTTACACTTTGCCTGCATCCACTGTTGACGGGATGACAAAGCTTCTTCAAGCTTCGCCTTGGTGAACTTCACATGGAAGTGCTCTGGATCTTTTCCAAGGAACTTCCATCGCTGGAACTGCTGCTCACGGAATTCTATTCATGTGGCACAAACATCAGCAGAAGGTTTGCAAGAGAAAGTAGTTTTCGTGGCTCACCTTTGTATGACTCGTCCGTGATTCGGCCTCCCTCGAGCGTCACAGATCCGTATATGTCAAGCAGGCCATATTTCCATTCGTCTCGTGACCACTGCTGGACAAAAACTGGCGCAACCCGTCCTTTTCCGAGATTGATCAAGCCTTCCTTACAGGCGTAAGCAAGAGCTTGATACATCCCATTCACTGTCAGAGGCTAAAAACGAAACGGTGAGGAACTAAACCAAAATACAAAGCTCCTAGATACCTCCTTGCCTTCGATGCACAGCACAGTTATCCACTCGTTCAATTCTGTCACACAAACCTTCACCGAGAAATCTTTCTCGGGTGTTCCATCCATGGACTGGACAGAGCCTGAAGCTGTCTCCATGTCTGGTTCATCAGCAGCTTCCTCTGCGTCTGTTTCCTGCAAATGTAACTGCACGTTGAGCTCACACTCCTGCCATGGCTCATAAAGCTTGTAAGTTCGGCTCACTTTCAGCGAAAGACTTTACTTACGTTTGTAAGTGGCTCAACGGCAAGACCTGCCTGATCTCCGTCTCTTGGTACGGGGTAAGGAATGGGATAGGGATCTGGGAGCTCCTCGTCCTGTTCTTCAGACACAGTCGGGTCTTTTTCAATGCCAAGCCTGCGAAGCCTCTTGGCAAAGTTGGGTGACGGAGTCGTCAGGTACCAGCATCCAGACAGGAAACTCTGATGGTATGTCTTTAAAGTCATCTCACTTTTCCTGGACTTGCAAACACTTCGAACAAGACGCGCAAAACAAGAATAGGATAAGTCGTTTACCATGAGAACAACGAGTGACTGACCTAGCTTCAGCCATGGTGGTCCGGGACAGCATCTTGCCGATAGCGTAGGCGAGCACCTCCTTGTCCATCAAGCTCGACCGCACAGCGTCTGCGCTGGAGGTCTTCACCAACTTGACGAAGGGCTGATTGATGAGAAAGACTTCCTTGCTGTATTCACTCGGTGGGAACTTCAATGGATTCGTGATCCCCTTTCGATTACCATTCTTGACTTCCTCCTTGAGCGTGAGGAATGCAGCTAGAAGCTCGTCTCTTGACAAGGCGCTCACATCAATCTTGTCTAGATCCATGATTAGGAAACCTAGATAAAGCATTAAGCAAAATCGCGGATCACGAGCACCTAGCTCTGCGCCTGAGATATCTGTCCATCTTTGCGACAACTGCGGCATCCACAACAACTTTCTGAGCTGCAATCTCGGCAGAAATAGCCTGAATCTTCTCGCCCAGTGTACTGTTTTGCGATGCGCAGGAAATCAATCCAGATAAAAGGCAGTTGCTCAGAGCACTGTCAAGTTGGAGTCCACTGGCTTTTGCTTGTTCGTAGCACGAGATTGCCTGGTCCGGATCAGCAGCTGCTAGCCATCCATGAATGAGAGTCGTGTAAGTCCTTGCGTTTACTTCTAGCTTTTTCTCACGCATTACTGCCAGAGTCTCTGTCACCTCCTGCTATAGAAGAAAGGATCAAATGAGAAGATCGTTTTTGAGAAATCTCACCTCGGTGTCTCCACTTCTGAAACAAGCCTTGATAAAGGACGTGTAGCAGATTGTATCAAGATGAAAACCATGCTTTTGCATATCCTTTAAGAGATCTCTTGCTTTGGAAAGCTCTCCCTTTCGTGCCCACCTACAAGGCAACAGAGTAAGAAAGAAAACTATCAAACGGGATTCGTTTACCCGTCAAGCATAGTGCAGTACGTGATTCGATTATGTTTCAGTCCTGCGTCAGTGATCTGTTGAAACACTTCCACTGCACGCTGCATGGCACCAGATTTACAGCATGCCTTGAGTAGCGCACCATAGGCAACGATGTCGATCGCTAGATTTTCCTTCTTCATCCTTTGAAACATTCCAAAAGCCTTCTCGACATCGCCAGCTCGTGCATAGCCCTCTGTAAGAGCCGTGTAGCTTCGTTCGTTCGGAACAACCCCGTTCGCTAGCATTTCATCAAGCATCAGACGCGCATTTTCCATCTGCCATGAAACTTACATCGAGAAAGGAAGAAGAAACGTATACTTGGTTACCTGTCGCGCTTTCGCAAGGCCGCTGAGTAAGGAGTTGTAAGAAACAACCCCAGGTCTCAGGCCTGCCGTTTTAATCCTGTCGAAAACTTCCAGTGCCTTTTGGATATGTCCCCCTTTCACATATCCATCAAGTATCGAGGTGTATGTTTCGATAGTTGGAAGAAGTCGGTTGGCTTGGATGTTTTCCAAAACACCAAGAGCTTTGTCCATGCGTCCAGCTTTACAGAACGCATGAACCAGGATGTTGTATGTCACAATGTCTGGCTTAAGCCCGGCCGAAACCATATCTTCCCAGACTTTGAATGCAGCTGTAAAATCACCACCACGAGCGTAGCCGTCCATTATCATAGCATAGATCATCTTGTTGGGAGAAACTCCATGCTTATCCATTTCCTCCAAAATATCAAGAGCCTTAGCCATGTTTCCAGCCTGCCACAGAGCGCGTCAGCAACGTAAAGTATTCTTGGAAAAATCTAAACCTTCGTAAAAAGTTTGACAATGCAGCCGTATGTTGCGGCTGTTGGTGACAATCCACAAGCCTGAAAGTTCTTAAACAGCTTGAAACAAATGCCCAATATCAAGTCACAGGACTCACCTTCAATCTGTGAAAGAAACTAAGACACTTCTCTTCGTCACGTATCTCTGCAAAACCATTAAGCACTGTGGTGTATAGTCCCAAGTTTCCTTGAAATCCTTCCTCTTCCATTTGTGCTAGTAAAGCTTCCACCGTTTCCATGTTCCCAGCTTGACTGTATCGAGAAAACTCGTCAAAGAGCACCAACCTAGAAAGAAACAAAGAGGCTTACCAATATGCTTGGACTATACTGTTGTAGACGATCCCACCAGGAACGAGATTTTCGGCCTTGAATTTCTCAAACCAATGTTCTGCAGCCCTTGCAAAAATTGTCACGCTGTAAGAGCAGCAAGCCTTGCCTCAGTGCGAGAATCGTACTCGTTATTTCCAGCACTTGCATATCCCGATATGATCGAGCAGAATACTGCTTCATTGAGTTGTATGCCTTGGGAAAGCATTTCTTCAGTGCACGCTACAGCCCCTTCCATGTCTCTAGCTTCTGCATAAGCATGAATCAAACTGAAAGACAAAATACTCCTTCTGGTTTCAGTAACAAGACGCGTACCTCGTGTAGATATGAACATTGGGCTTGATGTGAGAAGCTCGCATAGCTTCAAAAGTTGCTCGTGCAGCAACTTTGTCACCATGTCTCGCATAGAAATCGACCAAAAGCCCATACTCTCGTAGCACTGGCTGTAAAGAAAGTTGGAAAAAAGCGAACTAAAAAGAGAACAAGGAAAACAGTACCTTGTCGATCACTTGAAAAGCGTTGACGATCTTATGCCAGTTACCAGCGTCAATTTCCATGGTCTCGCGGAATCTTTGAGCAGCAGGCTCATCCGAGCAGTCTCCATATTCTTCCTCTCCCTTTTGACGTGATTTTCTTCCATCGTCTAGTTTGATAGCCAACTTTTTTCCTTCGAATTCCACTCCATCAACCTCTGCAGCTTTAAGTGCACAAGCTCCTGGACTGGAGCTTCCGTAGTAAACAAAGCAAAAGCCTTTGTTCCTCTCGGGATGATCGTGGCTGCGGATCCAGATAACATCCCTCACCGGACCAAAACGAGAGAAAAGCTCGACAACCTTCTCCTTTGTCACACCATAGGGAAGATTGCCAACAAAAATCTTTCCCACCCCACTTTCCAACTTCGCAGAATGCACTGCGCAAACAATTCAAGCCTTTTTTTTGTTTCTGAGGCAATCATTGCCGATGAGCTAGAAAGCTTACCAATATCTTTCGCTTCTTCTTTGCCACATTTTTCTTCCTCGGCGAGAATTTTTTGCGGCTTCCCGAGCAGTGGAGGCAAGCTCTTCATCGCTTGCTCGTCACAGACAGTACCAATGCCGTGTCTGGCGAAGGGATTGGCTCGCCCCAGTGTCGGCTTACTGGCAAGGGCCGGGAAGCCCCGCTCATCCGCCATGGAATTTCCGGCGGCGGTACTGAAATCCATCCTCCGTCCCACATTGTTCCAGGAGGAGATATGCATTCCTAGAGCCCTAGAATGAAATAAGAATTACTTTATTATAAATAACATGAAATCTATTATTCTAATTAGAATGTAATTCGAATTAATATTAGTTATTATTATGAACTCGTATGAAGAAAATTTACTCAAAGCCTTAAGTTTATTTACATAATGTATTTGTTGCCCAACGTGGATTATTTGGGGATTTTGCATTATAAACTACTAGATTACAGTCATCTTGAACAATTAAAAATGAAGCCAAAATACAATTTGGTTGTTGTTGACAATATTTATTGATTGCCCAAACAACCAAGTTCTTTTGTGATTTTGTGGTTGAATAAATAACAAGATTGCCATCGTTTTGTAATTCAAGTGTGCATGTGATTGCATTACTTATGAATGTATTTGTTTCCCAAATAATAGATCTTTTAAAAAATAAAACAAGATTACATGTTCTTTGTAAAAGTAAAACTATTTTCTTATTAGTGGATACCAAAAACTGATCACTTCTGATAAACTGAAAAGGTTTACCTCTTGAAGCACTTATTAAAACACTATTAGTAAAATCACAATAAAAGTTTATTTGAGTTATTGATTGAGATTGAGAATGTTCATGATCAGGTTCTGAAATACCATCAAATGAATAAGAAATAGCATAAGTTACAGATTTAATTAAAACATATTCTGCACATTTTTGAAGTATTTTAGTTTCATATCTCTTTAATAATCTAGATATTGATGTTTTCATAACATGACCAGAAACTTCTCCGTTTGCTGAACTTGATTTACAAAATGGTTCTTGACCATAAAAATGCCCTATTTTTACAACAGCTGTTCCAATATTAAGAGGAATATAAACTACATCAAACCAATTTATTTTATATGGAATTGATGAATCAATACTACTAATAAGGTTATTAAATCCTTCAATAATTCTATCCATACTTTCACTACTAACTATCATATTTTCATTCCAAAAAGTTTCACCTCTATTTGTTCCATAAACACTTATGAAACTCAGAGGAACTATAAATATAAAAAACGACATAATATTCATTATATCGTTTTATTTAGCTTAAAAAAGAATTACTTTTATAGTGTTTATTTAGTACTTTTTATTTTTTAATAATACCGATAAAAACACCTTTTATTACAGTTTTGGAACCTAATGGATATTCCAATCATTGTTAACGTCAATATCACGAACAATATCACAAACATGTCAATGGTATTGCTTTACAAATCACTGAATCGCTTATATATAATCGCACGAGAATCACTCGCTCTCTATCCATGTAACTGCATCCTGAATGCTTTCCTTGTACTGATGGCAGCCATGGTCGGACAAGAGTGTGCTGGACAGCACAATCCTCTTAAACCTCGACGTTGGATCGTCACCGCGAACAACAATGTGTTGGAACTGGGGCTGCTTCGTCTTTTGCTTGGGAGAGCTCTTGCTAGTTCTTCGGCTTGTCTCTTGACTCTCACTCCTTTGTTTTTCATCGTCTGATGATGCTGCCGCCGGCAATGCCAATTCAAGTAATAGCTCGGGCTGGAGTGGCTTGCGAAGAATATGATAGAGAAGTCCCGGCACGTAGAGTCTCTCCATTTCCATGGCTTCCTTCGGGTCTTTTACTGTCTCAGCCACATTTGCTGCCAAGGTTGCCGCTGCGATTTCAGAATCTTTCTCGTCGACGTCATCATCTACGTCTCCGTTTTCAGTCGTGGACACTCCTGGCATAGGTGTCGCTTGAGTAAAACTAGGAGAAAGAGAGGAAATAAAAGAGCTTGCCTCTATATGTCGAAGCGGAGCGCAGAAGCTCCGCAGCCGCCATTCCAACTGTAAACCAGTTTGCAGCTTTGTGTATCTTCGTCCCGGCCAGAGCCCCTGACCTTGCTACCACCAAGGCAGCCTGGCCATATTTCATTGCCACGCCTGGCAGTGTCCCCTGAGCCAGCTCCAACATTTTCTTCCCTTTGCTACCATCTTTAAATGCCTGGCTCCTGAAAATCACATCCTAGCAAGTAAATTTCAAGAACATGGAACTTTATCTTACCAGTCTGTTCCCAATATTTCGGATCGCAAGTCTTCTAGAGCTCCAGGACTTATTCGAGCAACGACATCGTCCTGAAAAGGCAAACTTTAGACCGAATATAAAAACAAAGCACATGAACCTGAAGAACAATGTTTCTGATGAAACCCGCTTCTTCAGCTAGCCTCTTATCGACGCAAGGAGGGCATCCATAACCCCAGCATGTAATCCACGAAGGAGGTATGCCAAGCCTCGAAAGAGGTCCTACGCTTCCACCATCACAGTCCCGCAAGAGCATGCAAAGCAATGCGGCTGTTCCAGCACCCAGGGAATGCCCGACAAGAACAAAACGGTACTCCTGATAACAAGAAACATAAGATCACAGCCTATGGAAACTTAAGTTCGAGCTAGTTACCGGATTTGCCACAAGAAGATCTCTCAAACAAGTAGTTTCATTATCCATAAGCCAGCGAGCTGCAGCAAGCATTCCGGAATGAGCATATCTGCAAACGAGTAAAAGAGGCAAACATTGTTTAAAATCGGAGTTATTGATAAGAAAGCTAAACAACTTACCCACCCTCAAATTTCTCACTGTGAGGATTCAAATCGGTCAAAACATCTGTAGCAGCCAAAGTTCCCCGGATGCTGATCACTACACAATGCCTAACATTATCAACAGCAATAAAATACGCAGGCTTTAAAACTCCAGAAGTAAAGACATGCTTAATAATTTGCGTCTCTTCTATCTGGAAAAAAAATTAAAAAAAATCACTGCGATAAGAATTTCTGTAAAACAAGAACAGACCTTCAAGTCTTTGGCAAGCTTCTCCTTGCTTTTCTTATAGGCAGCATACGCCCACCCAAACCAATGTTGGATCTCTAGAAGCTCTTCCCTGCAATCCTGAAAGTTAGCTTACGAAGGCATACAATAAAAAGAACGACTCACAGAGACGAAACACGAGAGCCATTGATGGTATCAGCAGCACCCTCAAGAGCATGCCGACCAGATAATTTATACAGACCCAGCGTAAGATCTGCCATGCTCCATCGACTCATGCCAGCAATGCTTCTCTTTATGCTCGCTGCTACAGCAGTCAGCGTGCCTTCTGCTGCTCGAGGAACATCGTCACTAGTTTCTTTGAGCTCTAAGTCATCAATTTCTTGCGCTGCTGCTTCCACAGCTTCACTTGGCTCAGCACCATCTTTGGACTTCCCTGCAAAACATTTTCTCTCGAATGAACACAATAGCTAAATAGAATAAGAACTTACTCCTCCAAGCAAGGGCGGGATGGATCATCTCTCCCCACGTTTTCGCAGGCACCTGGTTCGCATCTTTGGTGCCATCGCATTTCCCCTTGAGTTTCTCATCACGTGGCTGGTCTTTCGGAATGGGCTCCTCTTGTAACACTTCTTTTGTAAGCTCCGAGTCGTCTCTAGATTTACCTGTAACAAGCTGAGCCATTTGAAATTCAAAACTCTAATTTTTCCAAAAGGAAAAACTTACGTCTCCAAGTCGAAGGATAGATCATGTCTCCCCATGTTTTTGCTGGAGCTTCCACACTCTCCCCCGCTTTATCTTCGTTCTCTTTTTCTTCTTGCAGGGGCTTACTCGCAGAATCACGGATATCTCCTCCTAACAGCTTCCATGTTACAAGAGAAACGAAGAAAACAAAAAGGAGAGGATACAAACCAGCTTCATTGCTTGCGATTTGTTCTTGGCTTGTCGATTCAGACTCACTTGGTTCAGCCTCGGCCCTAGCTTCAGTCGAGGATTTCCCTGGAAATTGCAAAAAAGTTAGAAATGTAGAACGCAATGCCGCTCAAAAACTTACGGCGCCAAGACGATGTAATCACGTCTCCCCATGTCTTCGCTGGAGAATCCGCCTTCTTCCCCTCCATTTGCGCGATCCTACTCTCCCGCTCTCACGATCCCACACCGACGACAAATCAAACCCTAGCCCCTAGCAAAGCATGCCAGATGTTAAATGTATATTCCTCACAGGAGATGCATTCGCATATTCGTCTCCTTGGCGCCACTTTCTTTGAGTTCGTCCTGGCCAAAAAAAAAAAAAAAAAAAACAAAAAAACAAAAAGAGAAACTTTTAGAGACAAAAAATGGAGAGAGAAGCAAGAAATTTACCTTCTCTTATAACAATGACGTGCGTTTAGTGGATTGGCTTCGAAGAGTTCTTCGCATCACCTTGTTTGAAGCTGTTCTAGGAAGGGAACCAGCGATTTCTACTGAATCAACCTGGGAAATGCGAGAAAAATGAGAACTTGAGAGTAAAACGCGAGGATGGCACTTGCCTTGAACAGAGGATTTAGTTTTCGTTGGATGGCAGCGTTGAATCTTAGCTTGAGCTCGGAAGAAATGTCAGTTTTGTCGGTCACTTCGGCTTTGAGAACGGCAATTACGCAAAGTTTTTCCGGCCCACCTCCGGTTGGAGAGACACCGATTGCGGCGGTCTCCAGGACTCTCTGATCTGCTGCGTTGCAAATGCGCTCGATTTCAACGGAGCTCACCTGGAAAACAAAAACAAAATCCACGAGAAGAAAAAAGAAGATATAGAGCTTACTTTGATGCCTCCCAGGTTCATTGTATCGTCCACTCTGCCATGGGCTTTGTAAAAGCCTCCTGGCGTACGCTCGAACTCGTCTCCATGTCTCCGTAACGTCTAAGAAAACGTGTCGTAAGAGAAAAATACTTGGCTTTCCTTTGATCATCTACCTTTCCATTGTGTTTTGGCATTCCTTTGAAGTAGATGTTGAAATGGTTGGCATTCAGTAAGATGCGTGAAGCTCCTAGCATCGAAGAATCAAGAGCACATTCACCGATACCAGGCATTTCGCTTGGCTGCGAGCAAAGCAAATTTTAAGAAAACATTATAGCATCCACAATAAGAGAGCACTTACCAGAGGAATTCCGGCTTCGTCCAGAATGAAAACATCACATCCCATGGCAGGAGTGCTAAAACTCGCTAGTGCTTGAGGTTGCAGAAGTGAGCCCGTGACAAAGCCGCCACCGATTTCAGTACCCCCGCAATATTCAATGACAGGCTTGTAAGAAGCCTTGCTCATGAGCCAAAGGTAATCGTCTACTGTCGATGCCTCGCCGGTTGAGCTAAAACATCTGAAGAAAGCAACCTTTAAGACCATAAATCAGAAGGATGTTCTCGCCTTATATGTGAGAGGTCAATATCATCCAGGCACTTTGTTGTCTTCCAATGTCTGACAATGCTAGGCACAACACCCAGCATTGTTACTTTAGCGTCCTGTTAAAAACCATAGCTCGAGTGTAAAACAAGTTCAAAGAGCATGAACTCTTACTTGGACGAACTTTGCAAAGCCACGGCCTAGAGGGGACCCGTTGTAGAGAGCTATAGTAGCACCGTTAACAAGAGTCGCATAAACGAGCCAAGGCCCCATCATCCACCCCAAGTTCGTTGGCCAAGAAACAACATCACGACTTCGTATATCCTGATGTGCCCAGCCATCCGCAGCAGCCTTGATTGGTGTTAAATGCGTCCAAGGTATAGCTTTCGGATCACCTAGAAGTAAAAGAGAAAAAGTATACAACTTGGCCGTAAATTTAGTGTATGTAAGTGTACCTGTGGTACCCGAGGAAAACAGAATGTTTGAAAACGCTTCGCCTGACTGAGCAACGCCTTTATACTCCTGTGGCCTGTCAAAAGCCGCTATACGATAGTTTGCTAACAACTAAACCGAAGAGATGAATTTACCGAGCAAGGCCCGTGGACACTGCCAAGAACTCATCCCATGACATATCGTTGCTGCGAAGTTCCACTGTCAAAGCCCCCGCCTTTCCAGGAATTACAAAAGCTCGAGGAGCGTTGGCGTCCACAACTCGACTGCAATGAAGACAGTGAGACGGACGAGTAAATGCTTTGGAATTTGACTTACGTATACAAAGCAAGATCTTTCCCTCCTCGAACAATAACATCCTGCAAGCACGGTCTTTTGTTACTATAGCATAATCTTTTCAGACAAGACCGACCTGAGTGAAGATCGCTTTTGCTTTGGAAATGTTTAGCCTGGTCTCGATTTCCGAGGAAGAGAAGCTGTCAGCAATGGAGACAACCACGCATCCGCAAAGCACAATCCCGAGATAGACAACGACTGACACTGGAGTCATTGGCATGTTGATAGCAACAGCATCGCCACTTGAGAAACCCAATCGTTCCAAAGAGTTTGCCACTCTACTACAAGAAGAAAAAATCCATCAAAGATTAGTCCAAGAAAAAAAAAGAGTTGACAAAAAAGGATACCAGGATTGTGATCGGAGTTCGCTTAGTGTGAGTGAATTCAAACCTGTGTCGTTACCTTCGTCTCTCCAAAGAATGGCAGTGTTGAAAGCTTTTCTACATCGGCTCTCTTGGAAACAGCATTCCGCGGCATTGAGCGTAGCTTCACAAAGCCATTGACCCCCGGGACATGGCTCACCATCAATCTCATTTCTTTCCATGTCTAAGATTCGCGAAGGTTGCTCCACGAAAGGAATCTCAAGCTCCTGGAGAACAATCCTCCAATAAACCTGGAAAATTAAGAAACGTTACAAAGAACACACTCCACAAGACAAACTTACGTCTGGATTTTCAACCGAGAATCGCTGGAACTCGGCGAAGTTCGTGATCGGATCAAAGAAAGAACAGCCGAAGAGATCTCTGCCGTAAGTGTCCATCGTTCTTCCCAAATTCGTGGATTTTGCCTGGGCTCTGTGTCGCGCAAAGAATGAGAGTAAAGAAGAGAAGAAATTTGCTTCACTTACAAGGAGGGAATCCACACTGGAGGCGGACCAAGCCTCGCAGAGTCCCAATTTTTGTAGCAAGAGTGATAGAGGAGCTGATGGAGCCGAAATGGATGCGATGGAGCGAGCACATTCTTTGATAGCGACCTCCAGATGCTCGACGGAGACTCACCGGATGCTCGCAGCGATTGATTGAGCTTCCAGTGGAAAGATCGCGCCTCCTCGTGGCCAAGGCCAGCATCGACGAGCTCCTCAATGCTGGGCTCCTCCATTTTGACCGCTAGAACCCTAAAATATTACCCGGTTTTTTAGGGCTCTTGAGCTTTTGGGCGTGATTGGCTATGGCGAGTCCAGTCGTGCTCATGGCCGTGCCAATGCTCCCCGATCTCGAGCTAGCGCTGGATTCCAAGTTCAGACTCCTGCGGCTCTGGCAGGCGGAGGATCCTGGCGCGATGCTGCGGCAGCACTCGGGCCAGATTCAAGCGCTGGTCGTCAATCACAAGTTCGAGGCGTCGGCGGCGGTGATCGATGCGCTGCCGCGGCTGGAGATCGTGTCGTCGTTCAGCGTGGGGCTGGACAAGATCGACCTCAAAAAGTGCAAGGAGCGCGGCGTGGCGGTCACAAACACGCCCGATGTGCTCACGGACGAGACGGCCGATCTCGCAATGGCGCTGCTGCTGGGGACAATGCGGCGGATCTGCCCGGCGGATCGCTACGTTCGCGAGGGATTGTGGCCGGTCCATGGAGATTTCCCCCTCTCACACAAGGTAAAGCTCTCGATTCCTGGAAATTTTCGTTCTTGCGGTGCCAGTGATCGATCAAGTTCTTGCTGCGTGATCCATGGCTTCTTGTGAGAGGGAGCTCCTTGGCTCCCTCTCACACAAGGGAAATTTTCTATTCCTTGCTTGTGGAATCCTCTTTTCCATCGCATGCTCGACATTCCTGAGAGATCTTTGTTCTTGCGGTGCCAGTCGATCGATCTAGTTCTTGCTGCGTGATCCATGGCTTCATCTTGTGGATGATCGGTCGCAATATTTTCTTCTAGCGACAGTCATTCTTTCTTTCTCTTCCTCGCAGGTGAGTGGAAAGCGCATCGGGATCGTGGGGCTGGGCAGGATCGGCTCCGCCATCGCCAAGCGCGCCGAGGGATTCAGCTGCGGAATCTCCTACTTCTCACGCGAGAAGAAGCCCGGAGTTCCCTACGCCCACTACTCCAGCCTGGTGGATCTAGCTCGAGACTCCGACGCTCTCATCGTCGCGTGCGCGCTAACGCCAGAGACTCGCCATCTCGTGAGCAGGGAAGTGATCGACGCATTGGGTCCGGAGGGGACGCTGGTAAACATCGCGAGGGGGCCGATCGTGGACGAGGCCGAGCTCGTCCAGGCGCTGGTGGACAAGAGATTGGGGGCGGCTGGATTGGACGTGTTTGAGGCGGAGCCACAGGTACCACAGGAGCTCCTTGGGATGGATAACGTCGTGTTGCTACCACACGTAGGGAGTGGTACTTGGGATACCAGGCGGGCGATGGGGGATTTAGTGGTGAGGAATCTGGAAGCTCACTTCTCGGGGAAATCCTTGGTTACTCCAGTGGCACTCGAGTGATGGACTGGAATCTGGATCAAGCTAGATAGATGGTATTAGTTCCAGGTATCAACAGGGAAAGCAAGCTGGATATCAACAAAGACTTACATTCAAGAGAAACGAAAACTTAGATGGTAGCAGTTCTAGATCACAGGGTAGTGAAGCTGGATTTCAACAAGAGAAAAGATGGTAGTAGTTCTAGATCACAGGGAAGTGAAGCTGGATATCAACAAGAACTTACATTCAAGAGAAACGAAAACTTATATCGCACAAACATTAGAAGCGGCTAGCTTCACAGGGGGTGGAAAACTTCCGTCCTTCGCTCGGCCATGGGAAAAATCTCTACTTAGATCGCGTAGAGCTGCGGCCACTTTCCAAGTTCCACGGCGAGAGCGTAGCGGTACAGTCGGATCTTGTTGGAAAGCGAGAGGCCTGCTGGGAGTGGAACCTCTTTAGCGTCGGTCTCTGGTTCTTCCTCCATGAAGACGGAGACGTTGCCGGTGAGCTCGAAGTAGAGAGCTCTGGCCTCGATCGGCATGGGGAAGTCGAAGTAGAGCGGGGTGCCAACTCTGGCCATTGGCAGAATGTAGTTCGCGACTGGGACACATCGATCGGACGAGCTCTGCGAAGGAAGAAAAGGTAGGAGTTTAGAAAGCTCTGCAACAATTCGTAGAGTTTTACCTGGAGAGCAGTGACACGGATGCTAAGCACAGCCGGGCTGATGAGGAACTCGTCCATGGAATCCAGCGCAGCATCCAGCGACTTTGGCTGGCTGCTGACGAAGTTCTGCTTCGCAATGTTTCGAAGTGCGACAAGAGCGTCCAGTCGGAAGCCCGCAACGTTTGGGACAGTGGAAGAGATCATCTGCTCTATCACCCTTCCGCTTTCACTGAGCCGCTCTCCATCAACTTGGACCTATATCAACTTGTCAGAGGAGAGCAAACTCTAGAAATTCTTTCTACCTTGAGCCGTCCATATCGAGCAGGCGTCTCCAGCATGCTCTTCCAAGCACTCTTCTCCGGTGCTTGTGGACTCGCTACCACCTCCGGATCATCCAGTACCTTCCGACCAGTAACGATGATTCTTCTGGCGTGCAACCGAGGCGTAGCAGCAGCCTGTGCAGAGCCCACCCTCTGGCCCAGTCTTCCATTCTGAGGTTGGACGGGGTTATCAAAACTGAGAAGATCGAAAGACTGCGTCAAGGTTGCTGCGGATGAAGGACGAGCCATGTTTGCCGCGTTGGGAAGCGAGAGCCTGAGCCATACAAGCCGGCACTTCACGGGACTCCGGAATCTAAAGACCATATGCCGAGGATTGGCCGGGTCTCTCTCTGGTCCGATAAGCTGCTGTTGTGGAGTGCCTCCGGCGGAACCAAACTCCCACCTTCCAGCGTAAACACGCTCGGTTTCCGTCACAACGCTTCCACACCATATATCAACCTGTGGAGAATCAGCAGTGAAGTCACATTCCTATAGAGCAGTCGACTTACCGTTGGAGCATCCTGGGCTGTGTAACCACACGGGCTCACGAGCAAAATGATGCCAGTAACGGAAGAAGGCTGGCCAAGAACGATGCTCAATTCGACGCTCGGCAGTCCTGGAGGAGCCCTCCAGTATGACATAGTGTTGAAGCTGGATCGCGTGCTTATGAGCGATGTGGCTGGCTCGGATCCTCTATCGGAATGGACCTGAAAAAACTCAGCAGCATAAGAACTTTTCTACGTCTTTCTAAATCGCAAGAGCGGCAGCTTACCGAGAAAAGAAGTGTGGATTCCGGATACTCCGCCAGAGACGTCTCTCCTCGCAGCAAGTTCTTGACGTTGGGAACGCCACCATCTTTAGAGCTGCCCAGCATCTTACAGTCCTGAAGAGCCGCTAGCACCGCCGACTTGAAGCGCTTCTTCTTGTGCGCGTAGAGCAGCTGCCTCAGCGTGTAGAGAAGTATCGCCTGGTGCACCAGAGGATGGACGCACTTCTTGCAAAGCGCAGCATCCAGAGAAGCCCGGCCGCGGACAACACCCTGTGCGGCACTGCCTCCCAGCACAGCCTGCTGCAAGTTTCCTACGAGAGCAGTCCCTCTGCCAGCCACACAGGATCCGCAAACTTTCTTGTTGCAAGAGTTGCACGAAGAGATGGTCGTCACCGTCGACGCGCCCTGGACCATGCTGCCTTTTCTCATCATCACCACCTCGCAGTCGGCGTGAGAGCACGTCGCTTGGTCCCTGCTGTATGGATCGCCGCCTATCTGGCTGGGAGGGACCAACCCGATGGCTCGGAGCTCCTCGTCTTCGGTGATAACTTGGCTCAATATCGCGAGTTGGACTGCTGCCTGCCGGAGAGAAGTCAAGTTGGCCGGACTCACAAGTCCATTGGGATTTAGAAGCGCGGGGTCTTTTCCGGAATCCAATAGCACTCGGTCCCTCATGGCTGCCGAGAGGCCGAGGCGGAGGCGTATGATTTCCAGCTCCATAGCTTCCGTGTACTTGAAATTCTTTGCCTGAAAAGAACAAGTTAGAACTTCTATAAAAACTGGAGAGTACTAGTGGCCTACCAAGTTACCACCACAGAACTGGTGGAGATGCTCTCTATACTGTTGTGCGGCAATGTCTCCGGCTTGTACGAATCTTGTAGAGGCTGCCTTTTGCAGCCTCGCGGCGGGGACTGGCGGAGGCATAGCGATGTCGCCAGTGAGTAAATCAAACCCATAGTTTGCGCTACCAGGCGATGGTGAACTGTCAATGAAGCCGGGAGTTTCATTCCCGGAGCTTTCAGGTGTCACTCTGTTGTTCCAGATGCTATTCCAAAGGAGAGGGATTCCTAGAACTTCAACCTGTGGACAAGAGCGTCATCAACTCTACTAAGCTATTGTAATTTATCTCATCCATACCTCTCCAAGAGTGATAGGAACGCCTGGTGCTGCAGGATAAAATGTGACGGCAACAAAGCGCGTCAAGAAGTCGACTTCACCCTCTTGTTCTTCGTAGTCGTAAAGCCAAGGGAAATGTCCTGCACCAGTGATAGCTCCTTCTTCCGGATTTATCGCACCTGGAAGGGAATACAATAGCGTCGTTCCAGCAGCACAGCGGGGTATGTTTGCTCCCTGTCAAAGGTTTACATTAGCGAAAAAAGATGAAAAAGAAAACGCAAATACCTCTAGAACTAGCTTCATTCCATCAATCTGACGTCCAGTTCGAACATCAAAAGACGTTGGGGATGACATATCCTCCATTCCATGGCCAACAGTTAACAGGAGTTGGCATACGTGACAAGGTTCTGAAAGAAAAATATAAAACTGCACAAATTCTGCAGCTGAAGGGCAGACCTGAAAGCAATGAAAGTAAGAAAAAGAAAGTTTCTGTTGCCAGAGAACAACATACCCATATCATGTCTTTATGTTTCACGTTAATGAGCGAGTCGGGGATATAAAGACTGGGGAAGGCACTAGGCACTGGCTTCAGCAAGAATGCGTACGATCTTGAAAGTATCTGCAAAAACCTGATAAATTTCTCCTTATTCTAAAAGATTTTTGTGTGATGAAATTCCGAACCTGAATGGGCCTCTCCGGTATGGAAGGAAAATGCTGATATCGATGCATTCCCAGAAACATCTCGAGCTGCTTTTGCCGTGTGTTATCCACGAGCACGTTCAGATATCTCCGCTGGAGCGTTATTGCCACGTTCTGAGCGGCTCCGGTTCGTTTAGCCTTGGCTGCGTCTTCGCTAAAAATTTGAAGAATGTGACTGTGCATTGCCTTAGACCCGGTGTAAAGCATCGCATGTATGTCGCCTGCGAGAAGGAAAAGCTCCGCCATCATCGACACAGGAGCACCTAAAGTGGCCAGCTTGAACTCGTCTGCGGTCATGCTGAATCTCCGCCATGACTCGTCGGGACACGGATGGTCCCAGGTAGTAGTCCGAGTGTTGTGGTCGATATAAAACACCTGTCCTGTGACTGCATCTTTCCTCTTCTCCCAGCCAGGAGGGAGCGGGCCAAGCGATACTCTCGAACTCGATATCTGAGGTTGGATGGACCTGTCCGAATCTAAATCTATTCCGAGTCTTCTACACTGCTCCGAAAAAACCTGTACAGCTCCAAAAAAACTAGCCGCGTTTGTTCTATCCAAAGAATCAGCGCAGTTGAAACGAATAATGCCCCGTTGCCTGTCTGTTATCCTCCATCCTCCACCTCGGACCCCGGGAGTGATAGAGGCCCGGCTCTTGTCAGCAGTAGGAACGTAAGTGCCCAGCTTAAAGCCTACGTCCATTATTGGAGCCTGGAGTAATTGCCATAGACCATCCACGGTCCGGGCATCGCCTATCAGCTTTATGTTTGCATGCCAGTCGTAGTTCAATAGCCACAACTTTGCTTCGGGTATCTCCTTTCTCGAGTTTAGCTGATCGACGCAATCTTGAAAGTGTTGAAGCAATGGAACCTCCGACTTTCCTAGAGCTCCCCTGAGAAGGTTGACGCAGACGATAGGAACGGGATTCTTATCGCCGATCTGGCCATATCTGTAAAGAAGCCTCTTGAAATAGTGTGCCGACCCCTTGTATGTATCCGTCTCAGCGATATAGATTTCGGCCTCTGAGACTGTTGATTTTATCTCGGCGCCCCACCATATCGGTATTGTGCCTCGTCTCCACAAGTATGTGCTAAACGGAACTGGCCCAGGAGAAGCTCCAGGTTGCCAAATGAGTTGCTCACACTCGACCTCGTTACCTGAGGAAAAATCAGTACGATGCTGAAGAAACAGAGAAAAACTTACCGGTGCTATACGCAGCATTAAGCCCGCGTGCTAGATAGCGGGTTCCAGGATGTAGACGACTCCTCCTCGCTGTTATTGCTACAGTTGCATACTGCCCCTTGGCATCGACAAACGTCCGGCTATCTGCAAGACCCTGTACAACAAGACCGTTTCAGTAACTTCACAGAGAGAAAGAGATCCTAAGACAAGCAAACAACCACAGAAAACAAGATGAGACCTGCAAAAGGACTACACAGTGATGGTGAAGTCCGATGTCTTTGAAAGGCGATGTCAACCAAACGTTCCACGCAAACTCGAGGTCCGGATCCTGCACGGAGATGTCACTGGGAAACGGCCTGGTGACGTCTCTCGTCTCGCAGTAGACGTGCATTCCGTCGATGGCGATGTCCAGCAAGTCGCTCGCATTCTTCAGCTCGGCTTTCGACTGAGGCTGAGGATTCCTGAGCGGGATCTTCACCCACTGGCTCTCCATAACAGTGTAGACTGTGTCACCTCCAGGCATATCCTTGATGGAAGCTCGAACTTTGGTGGCCAGCAAGAGCAGCCCAACGCAGCCATAGACTGCGTATCCGAGTATTGCCCGCGCGTAAACTTTGTTCTTGATCAGCCATCGCGAACCCGCCGTCACGAACTTGATAGCCTCCGAGTCGGTCTGGAAGTTGTCAAACTGGTCCTGGAAAGTGTACCGAAGAGCTCCGGAGGTAGGATCCACATAAATAAGTTGCGTGTCCCTTCTACTCGCGAGGCTGGCGACTATGTAGACTTCTCCCGATTCAAGCTCCACGGAAATTATGGAAGTCTCTCGGGAGAGGCCACCAGATGGTCCTGATGACAGACACAAGGTCAGAGCTAGGAAAAGAATCAAGCTTGACGACTGATAAAAAAACGCATTGCTGAGAGAATCCAATTCATGGCCAAAGTTCTAGATCAGAAATTGCGAATGCATAGCGGATTGAGCTAAGAACGAGCTGATCCCAGGATTTCCAGATCTAGAAAATTTTCAAAACGTACCAGATGCCAGCATGTCGGCCATCGCTGAAATCGCAGCGCCGAGAAGATCAGCAGCGCCGTCCCGCGCTTGTCGTGCCAGGCGCCTCTTGCCGCATCCCTCTCGCAATCTAGGGCTTCATTAGGGTTTGTGGGCAAGCAATTTAACGTACCAATGAATTTAAAATCTAGCTGCACCGACAACCGTCCATCTTTTGACGGCCCAGATGTCAGAATATATAAAAAAAGAAAGCTTAAAAAACAGTGATCTGCACTGCCCGGGAATCGAACCCGGGTCTGTACCGTGGCAGGGTACTATTCTACCACTAGACCAGCAGTGCTCGTGTGTTTGACTTTTCTAGTATGCTAAATTCTACGAAAGAATTTAACTCTTTCGTCAGACCATAGGCCTTGACTGACTGACTTCCCGCCTTTGAATCTTACACCATGACGATTCTAGGGTTCTTGATTAGGGCTTAGATGACCGTGGACGGTGATTTGCCTACTCTTCTCGCCGGGAGAAGCGTGGATTTTGGTCAGAAATGCAAGCTAGAAATGCTAATTTGGAGGATGCCGAGCACTAGCGATGGAGGAGCAATCGTCTTTTGGCCAGGAATTTGCTCTTGAGCTTCAAATTTGGGGTCCACGATCTTGCAAGTAAAATGACGAGCTGTAGGACAGTGGGGGGCTGTGTCTCGGACTACGTTGCTGCTGGCATCACATTCTTTGTAATTTTCCTGTAAGATTTTTTTGGTTCCTTTCATCTTTGCAACGCTAAACGTGATTTTTTTTGTTCCTCTTTTAGAGTTTGCATTGGAATTTGTTTTGTAAGTATCAAACGACGGCAATTGGAGCTCAACGCCAAGAAGGTGTCGGTTTTGCTCGTCCAAGCATTCGCGAGCTTGATATATCTTGTGGCTTCTCTGGTAAGCTCACAGGTTTTCTAGAGTTTTGCTGTCTCACGCGTTCCAAATTCTCAAGATGTCTTTGAACTATTTGAGGCTATCTCGACGCCATCTATGGCAAAATTGTGATCTCATGCGTAAGCAAAATCGCTTTTGTTCTTTCACTGGCTAACTGTGGATTATAGTTTGGCTGAAGGGACCATTTGGATTTGGAATCCTTTTAAGCTGTCATATTGTACAGGCATATAGGCTTCACTACGTCTTTATTGCGTAAGTTTTTAGCTTTTTCTTTCTTCTGTTGTTCCCTTCCATCACTTCTACATTTCCTGTTGTGCAGAAGGCGCCTACCACCTTTGAAGTATTATCAGCTTCTTCCGCTACTTGTTAGTCCATGGTTTGCTGTAGCCGCAGGTAAGAATCAACGTGGTGTGAGGCAGGCTCTTATAGACACGTTCTTGTTGATGATCAGTTATACAGGCAGTGAGTGATCACGATAAGCGATCACCGACCTGCCAGTTTAACATACGTTGGGAGCTCGCAGTGGGATCGCTTTATGCTCTCTATCCTGCTATTCTCCTGCTCGCAACTTGGAAGGTGCGGCACATAAGATTTGAGTTTGACGAGTTCAAGGAGCTTCTCAAAGCAGCTTCCATCTGCGCCTTAATGCTTGGTAATCTGACATTTCGCTCAGTCTGTTCAGCCCTTCTTAATGCCCTTCTCTGCAGTTGTCTGGGCCGGAATGTTTGTTGCAGCCCAGCTTGATTCAAAAGTCGTAGTCACTACTCGGTTTATTGTGGCCGTTTTGGTACGTAAATACATTTTTTCTTGACTCAGTGAATTCTAAAACGTTGTGTCTGCACAGGTCAGCGTTGGCGTTCTTTTCCTGTTTTGGATTCCTATCGCAAAACCCGTTCACGATCTATTTCACGGCCGTAGGAGTAACCACCGGTATTCAACCATGGGGCAAGCGCTTGGAGTTCCAGTCAGTGGAGCCATATCTCAACCGTTGATAGCCTTCAATTTTAACAGGCCGCTGGAGCTGTTGCTTGAGCATAGAAGGTTTCGACAGTCATATTTGGCTTTTGTCGACAGGTAACCTCTGACGCATCGTCAAGTTCGAGCTGTTAACGCCATCTGTGCATATTTCAGTCGGATGGCCGGTGAGGTCGTGCATTTTTACAGTGAGGTTCGAGAGCTCAACAAACTCCAGCAGCAGCATCAAGTTGTGCAGAGAATTTACATGGCAGAACACATCATTGACAAGTACATCAAGTCAGGTTGGCCATTGTTCAGTGAGAAATGCTTAGCAAAACTCTTTAAGTTGCTCCAGGTGCGCCAATGGAGATCAATATATCCCATCAAATGCGTTTAGACATTATCAATACGACTGATTTGGCTGACCCAGACCTGTTCAAGCGTGCCGTCGGCGAAGTTTTGAAAATGATGCAAATGGTACGTGAGTTTCTTGTGTGTTCTTCCATGTATTTGTGAATTTCGGCAACCCTGAAACAGAATCTGTCGAACGACTACTGGCAATCCGAGTATTTTCAAGAACTAAAAGATGAACTGGACGCTGATGTGGAATCTCAGCAAACTGGTGACGATCTAGAACAGCAACTAGATGTGACTGCTACCAAGCGTGCGTTGAGAAGGCTTTACGATCCTACTCCAGACAATCCATTCGACCAAGGTTGCCCGTTCAGTGGTGAACTTCGCAAAGAGAATCAACCCGAACAACATCATACTGGAGTAAGTCAAAAACTTCACTGAAACTATATAGCTCAACGTGTGCTTCACAGGAATCACAATCCCAGAGGTCCGAAATCTTATTAACTAGCCAAGACACTACGCTGCCACGGAGTTGATCCTGGCGAACTAGAATCTGGACGATACACGAAATTCGTGCGCGCAGAGTAAGAAATTAACAGTCGAGTTTTTCTTCTTTAGCGACAAAGCATTGTGTGTTCTTCAGCTCGAGTTATGTTCTACAACGTTGTTTGCTGGAATGGAGATACTTACACAGCAGCAAACAGCTCTCAAGGAGGATGTGAAGAGTTACCAGCTAGCAAGGGATCACAGCGAGCCCGGACCAGCGCACTATGGCAAAAGCCTCAAGGCTTGCAAGACATTGTCCGAAGGCCAGCGGATCCATTCGGCAATCCTCCAGAGCAGGTTCAAGCACAACATCTACTTGTCTAACCTTTTGATCGAGATGTATAGCAAGTGTGGCAACCTCGAGGTTGCTCGCGAAGTTTTCCACAGCATTCGCGAGCCCAACGTCTTCTCGTGGAATATACTCCTCGCTGCATACGTCCGCCATGGCCGCCTCGACGAGGCAAGAAGAGTTTTCGACAAGATGCCGGAACGAGACTCCGTGTCGTGGAATGCAATGACGTCGGCTTATGCCCAGAAGGGTCATATGCAAGCAGCCAGGAGTATCTTCGAAATGATGCCGCGAAAGAGTATCGTGTCTTGGAACGCGATGATCCAGGCTTATATCCAAAGAGGAGACCTGGAAGAAGCTAAAGTTCTGTTCGACAAGATGACCGAGCGGGATGCTGTTTCATGGACTGTGATGATGCAAGCGTATGCCCAGAGGGGTCAGCTGCTGGAAGCTCGAGAGTTCTTCGACAACATGCCAAAGCCGGACGTGATCTCATGGACTGCTATGGTCGTCGCTTATGCTCAGGCTGGGCATCTCAGGGAAGCGGAAGAGCTCTTTAGCAAAATGCCGGACAGGGATGTCGTGGCTTGGAATGCCATGCTAGCTGGGTTTGTGACGAACGGACACATGAAGCAAGCAAGGGAAGTGTTCGAGAAGATGGAGAAACGGAGCTTGGTGTCTTGGAACACGATGATTTCGGCGTATGGACGGAGTGGAGACTTAGAGAACGCTGTGCTGCTGTTTGAGGAGATGGTCGAGCGTGACGGGGTGACGTGGACTGCGATGATACAGGGGTATGCCTTGAACGGGCATCTCGACCAGGCACTCAAGCTCTTCCAGGAGATGGACTTGGAAGGGGTGGTACCAGACGAGGCGACGTACTCTATCACTTTTACGAGCATTCTCACTGCTTGCAGTCACGCGGGAGAGGTTCCAAAGGGCTGTAAGTTCTTCGTGGAGTTCCAGGAAGACCGATGCTTACAGCCGACGATCGATCATTACCACGGCATGATAGACGTTTTCGGACGTGGAGGGAAGCTCCAAGAGGCGGAGGACTTGGTGGAAAGCATGCCTTTCCCTGCGGAGGCTCTCTCGTGGACAACACTCTTGGCAGCGTGTAGACTCCACAACGATGTCGATCGCGCGGCACGGGCAGCGAAGAAAGTGGTGAAGCTGGATCCGGAAGCAAGCTCGAGCTACGTCCAGCTCGCCAACATGGGGATCTTCCAGAAGTCGGAGATATCAGACTCGATCTCTTCGGAGGCTCCAAAAGCTCACCACCAGGAAGCTACAGATAAACTTATCGGGGATGGAGTTCTTCCTACTCGACGAGAAGAGGAAAGAAAAGAGGACGAAGGATTGTTCTCTTCACAAGAACCAGCCATTTCGATCGAAGAAACCCAAGAGGACTCATCAGGGGCGATCAAGGACTTCGCCTCACGGATACGAGCTTGTGGTGACTCCCGAGATCTGACACTCGCGAAGGAAATCCACGCCTCGGTGCTGGCGAGCCAGTTCTGGCAAAACAGATACCTCGCCAACCTTCTCGTGGAGATGTATGGCAAATGCGGCAACCTCGAGAGCGCGTCCAGCGTCTTCGCCACCATCGACGTCCCAAATCTCTTCTCGTGGAACATCCTCTTCACGGCCTACGCTCGAAACGGCCGGCTCCAGCAAGCCAGGCGAGTCTTCGACGCCATGCCCGAGCACGACCTCCCGTCCTACAACGCCATGATCGCCGCCTACGCGCAGAGCGGCAATCTCCAGCAAGCCAAGCTCGTCTTCGACGCCACCCCGGAGCTCAACGCCTTCTCCTGGAACTCGATGCTGGCGGCCTACGGCCAAGGTGGCGATCTCAAAAACGCTCGAGAGATCTTCTCCGCCATGCAAGAACACGACGTCGTCTCCTGGACCGCGATGATCCAAGCGTGCGTCCTGTGCCACCGGCTGGACGAGGCCACCGAGCTCTTCCTGGCGATGCCCGAGTATAACACCGTGAGCTTCAACGCGATGGTGTCGGCCTATGGACAATCCGGACAGGCCGAGGAGGCCAAGTCGGTGTTTGACACGATGCCCGAGAGGGACGTGGTGTCCTGGACTGCAATGCTCGAGGCCTACACACTCTCCGGACACGTAGAGGCCGCTGGATCGATCTTCGAGGCGATGCCGTGCTGGGACGTACTGCCATGGACGGCCATGATTGCGGCGTACGCGCACAGCGGCGAGCCACACAGGGCGATGGTGACCTTCCGGAAGATCCCGGAGTGGGACTTGATCTCGTGGAATGCGATAGTCGCGGCTTTCACTCAGAACGGACTTCTTGCGCCAGCGATGAAACTCTTCGGTGGCTTGCCGGAGCGAGACGTGGTGTCGTGGAACTCGGTGGTGCAAGGATTCGCGCAGCACGGCCAGGGGAGAGTGGCGCTCGAGCTCTTCCACGAGATGATCTTAAACGCGGTGGCTCCGCAAACCAGGACGTGCCTGAGCGTGCTCCTGGCGTGCGGGCATCTTGGGCTGCTCGAGAGGAGCCGGGAGTATTTCCTGAGCATGCAAGGCGACCATGGATTGGCTCCGGCGGTGGAGCACTATCGATCGATGGTGGACGGACTTGGGCGATCCGGGAAAGTTGCCGAGGCCGAGAGTTTGATCCAGACGATGCCGTTTCTTCCGGATAGCGTTGCCTGGCTGACGCTGCTCAGCGCTTGTAGGACGCATTCGTCCGGAGAGCGCGGGGCCATTGCTGCGGAGAAGGCGTTTGAGAGCGACAAGAGGGCGGCGTCGCAGTATGTGCTGCTGTCTAGCTTGCTCAACACAAGGCCAGCGGCCAAGGGATAGAGAAACTTATAGAAATTCTTTTCTTTATAAGTGGATCTATACACTAGCTCAATTGTCTTCCTTGGTGACGTCAAGAACGTCCTCGACGAAAGCGTTCTCCTGCTTGAACCTGTTCTTGGGTGCGGAGCAAACTGGACGAACAAAAGAAAAATTAAGAAAAATGCTGGAAATAATATTAAAAAAACATCTTTTTTTTTTTGTGAATTTGTACCTGGGCAATTGTAGCTATCTGGCTGATCTTGGAATAGCGTCTCCTGGTCGTAGACATACCCACAGTCTTGACAGATGTAAGCAATTCTCTTCCCAACTGGAGCTTGTGGATCCTGCTCCAATGGTACACTGCCGGTTATCCCTCCCAATGGCACTTCAGTGCCTCCCAGTCCTGTGGGAACGCTCTCCATCCTAACGCTCCTCAATTGCCTCCTTGCTGACACACCCCTCACATTACTCCTCAGTGCCACTGCCTTGAAATTCTTTGTTGTGGATGACACGGAGGAGGAGAGGAGCTGTATGCTGCTGCCGTTTGCGACCAGAGCCATCTTTGCAAATCTCTTCTGAGCAAGGAAACCCGATACAATACAGGGAGAACAGCAGTTCGACGTTGGGGTGGAGTCTATATACTGGTCACAATATAGAGTAAACGTGAAAACTGGAAATTTTCTCCAATAGACAGCACAGTATCTCTAGTTGGCATACACACCAATTGCATGTGTGACACTTGTCCAAGTGATGGAAGAGCCATAAAATTGATACAAGAAAATGCATAAATAGTTTTGATTTAAGACTTGGTTTTGAAAAAAGTGATTGGTTTTAATTAGCTAAAATATAATTCAAATTTAATGCTAAATATATAAAACTTTAGAATAATTAAAACTGACACAAAATAGCAAGTTATCACCAATAAGTATATAGAATTAAAGTTACACACAAGATGGATATTTATTAGTATGTAATGCCCAATGCACTTTATTTGGTGATATTGCATAATAAATAACAAGATTACAATCATTTTGAACAATTAAGGTTGAAGAAATTAAGCAATTACTCTTTTTACAATATTTATCAATAGACCATACTACAAACTTTTTTACTACATTTAAAACTTTTGTAAAACCATAAACAACAAGGTTACCATCATTTTGCAATTCAAGTGTACATAATAATACATCATGAATAAATTTCCCAGTCTGCCATATAATACTTCTTCTAAAGAACAAAATAAGGTTGCAATTTGAATTTAAGTATAAAATAACATTTTTATTTGGTGATAATAGAAACTCTGTGCTTCGAAGGCTTTGATACGGTCTGCCACTTGAAGCACTTATAAGAACATTTTTTGTAAAATCACAATAATCAGTTCCAATACTTCTAAAATGAAATAATATCAATGGATAATAATCTGGATCAGCTTCAGAATCACCATCTAAGCTGTATGATATTGCATAATTTGTTGCCTTTATTAAAATATACTCCGCACATTTAGTAATAATAAGTTGTTCATATTTGACAACAATTTTTTTAAGTTGTTGTTTCATTGTTAATCCTCTCAGTTCTCCTTTAATTTTACTTTTTCCACAAAATGGCTCTTGATGATAAAAATGCCCTATTCTAACAACAGCGGTACCAATAGAAAGTGGTAAATAAATTACATTAAACCAATTAACAGGATATGGCTCTTTTGCAATTTGTGCAATAAGTGTATTAAAACAGGTAATAATTTTAACCACATCAGAAACATCAAGTTTTTTTTCATTCCAAAACTTGGTTTCCCAACTAATACATAAATTATAGAATGAAGTACTAATTATCAAAGTAAATATAAAAGAATTACAGCTTAACATATTTCAATTTTTCTTATGAAGAAATAGTTATTATATAGAGATTTTTATTATTAATTTACTATAATTTACTATTTAAATTGTATTTTAAAGAATTACTTTGGTATATAGCAAACCTCCATTTGTAATTACTAATAGCATAGATGTGTGATATATATGATAACAAAGAAATTTCTTGATTAGATTAAACTCTATTTAATTTAAATGTGTCAAGATAATCATATTCCATATGGACTTTCCTATTTTGTTAACTAGAAAGATGGAAATACTTTAAAAAACATTCTAAGCTATGCTAATCTGTGCTTTTTTTCAAATATTAAAAAACTAAAATAATATAATAAAAATATATTTAATTTTTTAGTTCTACCTCTAAATTGTAATAATCTATTTAACATCTATCTGAAGAGATTGTTATCAAGAGAAGGGAAGACAACAAAATTATTAATAAAATACTAAAGAAAAGAAAAGAAGAAATAAATTTGTGTTAAAAAGTCTAAATGTAAAAAAACCTAATTTGGGTATGGGTCTCAAAGGCTTAGTAAGTCTTGAGTTCAAATCCCCTAAGAAAAAATAAGATGCCTGAATCCCATTATAAATAATGATAGCAAATACACCTTAACAAATATAAAATGTTATCATATATATGACATTATCTTTCCCTTTTATGTCAAAAATTGAACAAATAAAGTGATATAGATATTGTTGATAGAAATCCAACTAACTCAGAAGCATGAGTAAGATGAAAAGTAATCTCCCAAATATAATCACTAAGAAAATACCCAAACTAATTAAATAGATAATAGAGTTTACAGTATTGGTATTTAAAGTCAAGGATGGTAATAAATTCAAACTCCAGTTGCTAGTAATGACCTTAGGAGGGGGTGGTGGTGGAACATAAGTAGAATCATAGAGTGTGATATGATAATATTGAAGAAATATAGAATACCAAATGCAACTTTGCGGATGGAGCCAATAAATGATTTAAGAAATGTGAGAGACCATAGAAAAATATCAAAACATTAATAATCAAATTTTTTAAACACATGGTTTTTTCAATGATGATAAAGGAACCAAACTTAAGATCTATTGGAAAAAAAAGGCTAAATTAGTAATAATGATTTACAATATATCAATAAGTAATTTAGACACAAAAAAGGTGTTATAATGATTATAAGTGCCTTAAATAGTGTCAGGCTTGGTGGTTAAAAATATCATCCCATTTTTAGTTTATGATTTTGCATTGCTGAAAAAAACAAATGGAAAAGTTGATGTTCTTAGTTGACATAGTGTTCTCACTTTTTTTTGGGGGGGGAGGGGGGACCTTGCTTTTAACCTTTAACATTAAAATTTCCTTCAATTTTCTTGGTTCCAAATTATTTCTCTTATATAATTCTTTACTTTTATAGTATATGTGATTTTCACCCTTTACTTTATGGTGATTTACTATATAGAATAAACAAGGAGTGAAAGAATAGAACCACAGAGTGATATTGAAATAATATTAAACCATTCAGCTCTTAAACACTAACAACACACAAAATAAAGCCTAACAAAGTTTGATACTATTTTAGTATATCAGTAGTCTAATGTGAGTATATGAGTATTCTACCAACTAGCATAGTATAGAACTTAATCTTATATTCAAACCAAACACATAATAAAGACAAATATGTTTAATAGGCAATGTTTGAAATTAGTTAGTCATGCTCAACCTACCCACTATCTCTACTATACACAACATATGTGCCACACAACCACAAACTTAGATGAAAAAACTAGTGTGGTTCATTCTACTACATTTACCACATATTTACCAGTGGTAAATACTACATAAGTTATTGAAGTTGAACTCTACTCCCCTAGGAAGAAAATATAGAAGGGCTATTGTGGCATTGAGCAAGGGGACACTACTTGCATTTTACTGAGGGGAAGCCAATCCTCTAGTTGAGCACACATCACATCACTGCCCAAGATTCATATCTGCATAACTCCCAATGCATCAAGTCTCACAGGACTCCTAAACTGTGCTGGGCTAGGCTAAGGAGTTGGCAACATTTCTAGTTGATATCACACAGCTATTCCAATTAGATTAGTAACTCTATGTAAAAGATATAAATAGATCTTCCTCTTTCTCCAATTATGGACCTTTGGCCTTGAGTAGAGCCAGCATAACACCTTACACTACATAACACTCCAATTACAAGTCAAAACATTTATATCTAGTCACTCTATTACAACTTAAGTATGCAAACTGTACAAACTAATGCATATGTTAATTAGTAATAAAAATTAGATATTACTCTAAATTACTTCTTATCAGATATAAAATTAGACCTCCATACCTTCACAAAATTTAGTCCTCTTAATTTTTATCATTAGTTCATTAAAGCGAAAGCAAACCAATCTTTGGTACTCCACATCAAGTTATTTGAAGCACATAAAAGCACTTAGTTATGCTTATAAACAAACACAAGAATTTAAACACTAGTTAGTGAACCCTCATATCATGTTTATATTTAAATATCGAAAGCAATCAAACAAATGTTTAGCAAGTCAATTTTGACGTTGTAGACCAGCCAAATTTCTCAAACAGGCTCAAGACAACACCATTGCTCCATCCAAAGCCAGTCTACAAAACATTAAACCAAGTACTTATGTGAAAAAAATGTTTATGCACAAACCTGAGGATTGTACTCTCCACCAAGACCACTCCTGCCACAGTATCTCGCGTCTAACTTCTCCAGCATCTTCCCAACCCTTTGGAATTCCGCATAGTTCGACTTTAGCCAGCGCTGGGATATATCCTCCGCCAGGGCCAACCCTTCCACAGATCTTGTACCAGCAAATCCTTCTATTATAATATGCTGGAGATTGGGCCAAGCATTCGGGTAGTCCCTGTTACATTTCATCCAACATTACTATTTGTATAAATAAAAGAGTCGACTAGTAACTTACCATTGCTCTCCTGTTTCTCTCAGTGAGGTGACCACACCCGCAGCTAACAGCAGCCCCGATTTCTTAAAAGAAGAGACGAGCTTCGAAACTTTCTCATCGCCTGAAATGATAAATATATTGTTTAAAAAAAAGGAAAAAAAAAACAATCGAATATGTTACCTGGTCGCACCACTCCGCACCAAAGAGGGAAAAAGTTGGAAGGAAAAACGTCAGTGTTTTGGTTCTGTTTGTCGAAACTGTAGATCTTTTGCTGCTTGAA